TTATAAGAAAAAATTTACAGCAGATACAGACGTAGGGAGGCTGGAAAGGCCCTGGGGCAGGTGACGTATGAGCACTGGGGTGAAGTCGGGGCCGGGGGCAGACTACCTGGGATACAGTGTGACCAGGCCTCGAGACAGCACGGGTACCACTGCAGCGGCAAGAGGAAGGTGCCCAGAAGTGCAAGAAATCGATAGGAAGTCTGTGGAGGATTTGAACAAGGACGGGGGTAAAACTCTCCCATTTTTGGAGTTCCAACAGGCATGTGGAGGAGATTCAGCCGAAGGACAGAAAGTTAAACAGGGAAGAAGGGAGACAGGAAGCTGCCCTCCGGGTGAAGAGTGGCTTGGCCCGGGGGACAGCAGCGGAGGTGACAGGAGGCGGCTGGGTGCCCAGGGGTTTTGCGGGAACGGAGGCCCCGGGTTTGTTCTTGGCTGGGATGAGGAAATGAGAAAGTTTCCCCGACGGCTGAAGGGTCTGGCTCCTTCAGAGGAGCCGGGAGGGCAGAGGCTGTGGTGGGTGCTTTAATGGGGCGCGGGCCGATGCCAGAGGCATCCAGGTGCACAGGTGCGCGGCACAGATGTTTGTGCACGGCACAGGTGTCGGTGCACAGCACAGGTGTCGGTGCATGGCACAGGTGTGGGCGATCTGTGGCACAGGTGTGGGCGATGCGTGGCACAGGTGTCGGTGCACGACACAGGTGTTTGTACGCAGCACAGCTGGGCTCTCGGGCAGGGCTGGAGGCAGTCCTGACGTGGGACAAAGGTGCCCGGAGCTCTGAACCCGAGGGCCCTGACGTGTGTGGGAGGCATGGAGGGAAAGGACCCATCTGCTCCTACAATCCCTACCCGCAGCTGCTGGGAGGTGAAAGGGAAAAATCCCCGGGGGCTGAGGGTGGCAATTAGTTCACCGACAAACAGGGAGGATGCCTGTCAGGCCCTTAACTCAAGGACATTTTAATTACGACTATGATAAGATTACAGTTGCCAGTTTGAAGCTATTTTAGGTCACTTAGAATTCCAAATCGAAAGTCCAGGGAGGCGTAGGTAATTTCTCACCCTGGTGTAAGAATCACTTGGTGTGCCTGTTAGACATGCAGCCTCTCAGCCCTCCTCCAGCCCCACTGACCAGAATCAGGGGCGGGGGTGGGGGGGTGGCAGTTGGGGCTGGGAAATGTGATTCTGAGGGGTACAGCCTGCAACAGCCATAGAAATTCAGGCGTTTGATGTGTGCGCAAAAGTGATGAGGAAACCTCACTAGGTGAATAGGGGTGAAGGGCAGTAAGGAAAAAAAAAGTGATCTTTTTTTTCTTGATAGGACTTTTTACAGACTCAGGGGTTGGGAATCTCGTCACCCTGCTTCTCTGGTCTATTTTATCCATCGTCATCCTAAAACATAAATCTGATACCACCATCTGTCCAAATACCATCAAAGTGCTCTGGCAGGTGCGCTCGGGCCAAGGCCCCGAATCCTTGAGATTTAAAACATCCAAGTCTGGCCTGAACTCCAAATTTGTCCCGGGAGCCATGGTTCTTCACTGGGGACATTTTGCATCCTAGGGACATTTTGGATTGCCTGAAAGCGGTTGGGGTTAGTACGAGGGGAGGGGTGCCCCTGGCATGCAGTGGGTGGAGGCCAGGGAAGTTGCTGAACCTCCTCTGCTGCACGGAATAGCCCCCGCAACAAGAAGGATCTGGTCCCCAAATGTTGATTTAAGACCTCAGGTCTGTAGCCACGCGGGTGTCCATTCAAGTCTGTAAACTCCAAGGGCTCTTCCGTTGTTAAAGCACTTTACTAAGCAGGAGGTGCGCCAGGATGTGATTGCACCATCACGCACATTATGAAGGACCGTGGCCTTTCTCCTGTCCTCGCCACTCAGCATCTTCTGTTCACTGCTGGTTTCCTCCCACTATTACACCCTGTCGTCCTAACTGGGTCTGTTTACCAGTTTTCAGCCCATCTTCGGCACTAACACGGAAAACGTTGGCTCCTGGGACACAGATCCCCAGCACCCAGCACGAGCTCCTCATAAACAAAGGCGTGCTGGGGCAGCCTGGGGGGCGGGGGGAGCTCGGCGGTTTAGCTGCCTTCAGCCCAGGGCGTGACCCTGGGGACCCGGGATCGAATCCCACATTAGGCTCCCTGCATGGGGCCTGCTTTTCCCTCTGCTTGTGTCTCTGCGTCTCTCTGTGTGTGTCTCTCATGAATAAATAAAATCTTAAAACAAAACAAAACAAAAGGTGTGCTGAAGGAAATGAAACAGGCAGGGAGAGGCCACCAACTTTTACCTCTCCAGATTTGATTCTTTTTCCTTCGAATCATTTGGTTTTCAGGAGAAAAGTGGACTCACTTTCTTAAGAAAAAATTCAATAAAACCGCTCCCATCAGCCTGCACTAGTGTGGATTACATGCTCCTTTTTATATACGGGCATACAAACACCAGCTTTTGCACGTATCTTACAGCATTTACAGAAACAATGCAAGGATACATCAAAACCTATTTTGGGGGAATGCCTGGGTGGCTCAGCGGTTGAGCGTCTGCCTCTGGCTCAGGTCATGATCCTGGATTCCTGGGATCGAGTCCCCTTGAGTCCTGAGTCCCATTGAGTCCCGAATCATCCTCCCCGCAGGGAGCCTGCTTCTCCCTCTGCCTGTGTCTCTGCCTGTCTCTGCGCCTCTCATCAATAAATAAAATCTTAAAAGAAAAAAAAAAACTTTTACATAACACAATTATATTAAGGGAGGAAAAAAGGCAAAGCAGTATCTAAAAATGGAAAACAATGAACCTAATGGGATCTGGAGTTGTTGGCGAATGTACAGATAAGGAATTTCAGGCTTCTAACCCATGCTGTATCCTTGAGTGGAAGTTATTCAGTAGAGTCTCCAGTAAGGACTGCTAGACACCCCCACTCCCAAAGTTTCCAATTCAGCAGGTCTAAGGTGTATTTCTGACAATGTGTAAAATTTCTAAGATGCCTTTGAAACATGCATTTCCCAGTGATGATGATTTTGCTAGTCCGGGGCCACAAGTTGAAAACCAGTTATAAAAAAGAAAGAAAAGAAAAGAAAAGAAAAGAAAAGAAAAGAAAAGAAAAGAAAAGAAAAGAAAAGAAAAGAAAGAAAAGAAAAAGAAACCAGTTATAAACAAGTGAAACTTCAAAGCACTTGAAATCTTCACTTAGAATGTTGGCATTGTGACTTAATTGCTACACGTAGTAGGATAAATCAAGTTATGCTGGTATCAGGAAGCCAAGTTTTCAGAAAATCAAATATAAGATCGAAAAAATAACCTTATTTTAAATTAGTTAGAAACTGAGTGCCCTGAGTTAGGGCATTCAGGTGGCTCAGCAGTTGAGCGTCTGCCTCTGGCTCAGGGCTTGATCCTGGGGTCCCGGGATCGAGTCCCACATCGGGCACCCCACGGGGAGCCTGCTTCTCCCTCTGCCTATGTTTCTGCCTCAGTCTCTCATGAATAAATAAAATCTTAAAGAAAAAAAAAAACAGTAATATAGAAGTGCCTGGCTGGTTCAGTCAATGGAGCATGTGACTCTTGAAGTCAGGGTTAGGTTCAAGCCCCCACGTTAGGCATGGATTACTTAAAAATGTTAAAATAAACCAGAGGCACCTGAGTGGCCCAGTCGGTTAAGAGTCTGCCTTCGGTTCAGGTCATGATCTCGGGGTCCTGGGTTGGAACCCCAAGTCAGGATCACCACTCAGGGGAGAGTCTGCTTCTCTGTCTCCTCTCTGCTCTTCCCCCAGCTCATACTCTCAAATAAATAAAATCTTTAAAAACAAAACAAAACCCCATAGCAATAGAATTCATTGAAGTCCCCCCCTTTAAAAAAAAAAAACGTATATATCCTCGTTCTCTAGGTTAAGAAGTCCTGGGGGTTGAAGCAATTCAGGAGTAATGAGCATCCTTATCGCCAATTCACCAATTCTAATCATCATTTCCCGCAAAAGGAGCCCAGGATCTTCTGAGAAGTTAACTCTCCAGGTCTTGGTCAGGAAATGGTCAAGATGAGCTCAGAAGCTAAGAAGCCTTCAAGCTGTTGTTCAAAACACACTAAGCCAACTTAAAGGTGCCCCTGTTGGCCAGACAGGAGACTCTAAGCATCAGAGTGATGCCTGCAATTGTTTCAAACTCATGTAATGTATACGGAGTTCCTCAGAAAAAATTCAGAAGTTCATACATTCACCAGTCACGTCTAGGACCAGACTTTATTCTCAAAGCTGATTAATCAAGGAGCAGAATCAAGTTTTTTTTTATCATTCAAGCTGTATTTCAGGGTAATCAAAACACAAGTGAGGTCTTCTGTCCAATAATAATAATGCAGAAGAAATGATGGAATTTTTAAATCACCTTTTGCAATATTCCTAATGTTTATCCAGTGGCTGCTAAAACCCAGAGGAGAAAAGTTGATGGAGAACTTTATTACGGCTGGATAGTCTGACATCTGAACCCATGATCAAACTTAACATGCATGCAGTTGGAAAACCAAATATTGTATGTGTCCAGAGGGGATGTGATTGGGAGCATATAGATCCTCCTCTCCAAAACTGATCTCAAATCTACTTTAAATCTCTCGATTGAATTCATCAGTTCACAGGACATCAGAGAGACTGGAGAAAGTTAGATGAAGCCACAAATACACAATAAACCCATCAAATGTGTGAATTTCTACAGGACGAAAGACCCACCCTCTTCAATAAATAAAATGTTGTAAGGTGTGTGTGGAAAGGGTAAGTAGATTAAAATACTTTAAAAACCAATCTAGGGGCTCCTGGGTGGCCCAGTCAGTTAAGTGTCCGTCTCTTGGTTTCAGCTCAGGTCCTGATCTCAGGGTCCTCAGATTGAGCCCTGAGTCAGGTTCTGTGCTCAGTATGGAGTCGGCTTAAAATTCTTTCTCCCTCTGCTCTAAAATAAATCAATCTTAAATTTAAAAAAAAAAAAAAAAAAGGATCTTCTAAAACCAATTTAAGGCCATCTTGTTTAGGTCCTGATGAGAAGCCACCTTTGAGACAACCAGGGAACATGGTCATGGAGGTTGGTTATAAGGAATCATTGTCCATTTAGCTGTGTGTGATCATGAAAGCTCTTATCCATTAGGGATACATACTGAAGTGTAAAATGAAACTGTATCACGTCTGAGATTTGCTTTAAAATACTCAGGGGAGAAGACTTGAGGTGATGCAAAATACTGCTGGGGAAAAAAAAAAATACTGCTGGGGAGCACAAGGATTCATTACATTAACGTCTCTACTACCCTGTAGGCTTAAAATTGTACTTAATAAAAAGCCAAATAAAACAAAACCAGAAACCAGGGACACAATAAAGACCAAAACCCAAGACTGCAAAACACCAAATCTATATTTACATCCACATATAATAACATAACTTTAAGCTGAAATATATCATAAATAAAACAAGTAATGTCTACTGTTTGACAAGTATCAACAATTAAAATAAATCAAACTGGAATGAAATAAATACATAAACAAAAATCCAATGGATTGTACCTCTATTATATGTACTGTTGTCTCAAAAGGAAAAAAAACATACAAAACCAGTAGTATCCCAATAGTTAATACTGATGGACCAAAAACAAAAACAAACAAAAATTTTGGAGTACAAGGGCTGTGAAAAAAAAAAAAAGGACATTTTTATGCATTCAGAAATTCAGAAATGTGGTTAAGAAAGGAGAAATCTGAAAGCCCCCAAAATTACAGTATGACATGAATTGACTTGTTTTCAGATAGATTTGGTGATTTTTTTTAAATACAGGTTTAAATTTCAGCCCTCTATTATCTCGTATCCCCTTTTAAGATTTACATTTATAGTCACAGCAAGCTTTCTGCAACACTCATTGGATTAGGCAAAGATCAAGTCAATCATCTTGCAAATGTGTTAATCTTCAAAAATAGGCTATAAAAGTGCAAAACTATGAAAACAAAAATCTAGATTATGTACATATGGCTCAGCTTGTGAACAGGAAAAAAGGTAAATAGTGTACACTTTCCTGATACAAAGCACTTCATTGCAATGACAGCAGACTGATCTCTAATCAGGTCTCCCTTTAACGTGGGAGTTTAAGACTTCTCTGTCAAGTATGCTTCATGTTGCATAATGAAAAAACAAGAAAAAAACAAAAAAACAAATCAGGATTCTTTTAGGACTTCACTCTTGCTCTAACGCAAAAGGACAGGGCAAGAAAACTTAACAGTGCAAATTTATTTTTGAAAACGGTTTTCTTAATAAAATATTTTGTGGTTGCTAAACCAATGTACTGCTGAATAAACTCAGCCGCGGACAGCGTATTAAGGGAACAAAAGTTTAAAACACCTAGCAAGCCAGCTGGTGGCTATCCTCTCTTTAAAAACCCAAACTACATATGCACTGAGAAAAACGTTGCTGCTCCAAACAACCAAAAACGGGAAGACAAGTTACTGAGGTCAAGAAACAGATCACATCTTCCCCATTACCAGAAGGCTCAGCCGGCAGTTCCTTATTCAGAATCAACGTGTCTATCATTAACTCGAATATGTCCACAGTTAACCCAAATGCCGGGCACACCAAGACTCCTAGATACAAACCTAAAATTTACCCGAAAACTTTCATGTCCTTTAAAATTGCTTCCAGTATGTGTAATTCACATGTATAATTTAACGTTTATGTTTTTTTACATACTAATTTAAGCAAAAGCCAAGAAAACCTGAATTTTCCAACAAAAATGATTAATGTGATAAAAAATAACTTTTAGGAACTCCACATACAATTTGGTATGTTTACTGTGTATGTGGCTGCTCTGCGGAGGACATGCTCCTCTGTAAACACACACACTTAAAAACCCCACAAATCACACCACTTTTTCAGAAAAGGATCGTGGATCTGGACTCTCCCTCTGTTGACAAAATGAAAATTACAATAAAAGGGCACCGAATTCAAAATGACTGACCACAGTATATGCAGCACATATTCATAGAGGGTCAATACTTGTGTTAACAATTTTGTTAAGACAATAGACTGGGGAAGATTTAACATAATACAAATCATTGAGAATTATTTTTAAAAACATACATTTTCAACGAAAGAGTACAAATAGGAACTGCTCAAAGTGATGAGCTACATTAGAGAAAAGAGTATGCACAGTATTTGAACAAGCAGGTTTAGAACTTACATATGTACATATTACCTGAGGTGCAAGCGTCATATACTTTCTCCCCACCCACCCCCCAACCCAGATGGTTTCTTTCCAGCAGCGCTCAAGTATGCAAAAGACTCCTCTTCTTATTTGGTCGATTCTAAAAAAAATATTATTCAGGGACAAAATAGAGATTTCCAGTCTCCATTTGTGTACAACCCAACTGTTCCAACTATAGTTTTTATTGCTATTTGGTACAAAAGTTAACAGAACAACTTTACAAAACCGTAGTGTTCCTGGCATGTTACACGCATGGTACGGTCACAGCTTATTTCACAGGCTCCCACCATCTGCTTTTGCCAAAGGATGGACGAACTCAATTTGTGGACAGTACACATCCATCAAGACCTGTGGAAACAAAGGTTCAAGAAGCGATTAAGATAAAACTGAATACGGCCCAGAAAATCTTTAATAGAAAAGTACAATCAACAGAAATAAGGAGATCTAGAAACACAGTGAGTTTCACGTAAGCTCAAATGTTGCAACGAAGGGGCGCCTGCCCTGCTCAGTGCGTGGAGCATGTGACTCGATCTCTGGCTTGTGAGTTCAAGCCCCACAGCAGGTGTAGAGATTACTTAAAAATACAATCTTTACAAAAAAGTAATGTTGCAACGAAAATATCAGGACTCTGCATAATGCTGTGCCGCTTCAGAGATACTACTACATACTGAACAGTGATTTAATGAAGAGGATTTTACCAAGAATCAGAATTCATATAAGTTACACTAAGTCTGGCAAAAGCAACTGTCACCAATGAGAAACTGAAAGCTTATATAACATTTGTTCAGCCAACATCTAACAAGTTTTACCAGTGATATTCCCCGCAGTAGACTAGGCAATGAACACGAGTCTCCTCTCCACCCGAGCTAGCAGTGAAGGTGGACACACAGGTGGGGGCCAGCGGGGAGGAATGGAAGGCAACCAGTGCAGGGGGCCAGCCCCAGCCTACAGAAAGAGGCTAGGGCTGGACCAACAGGACAGTTAGCATTTACTATTAAGGACCTGCTGTGCCATATGGCACAAGAAATCTGTTACAAATTATCTGTTCCTTAACCCATAAATTTTCGTTTTTGTTTTAATGGAGAGTGGACTTAACCCCATTCCTGTCCAACACTTTACTCTCATTCTACTTTCACTACCTGAGGGGAAAAAGGAGCGTAGGCCTGGGTAAGGCTAATAGGTCCGTCCCTACGTGTCCCACTGGAAACAAGACAGAGAACTCGCACCCTAGACTGGGAGTATAAACGCTGGTCACGTGACAGGACAAGGATTTCCATGAGAGAACTCAAACTGTCCATCATCCTCCATCTCTTCATGCAATTCATTGGTAAATAAGGCCTAGAATAACTCTTCACCTGGACATCAGGCCCGCTGGCCAAACCTGGAATTAACTAAATAATCGCACAACTCTGACCATACTACTTGAGTCTTCTCAGTATCTACAGTTATATACACTTGCCATGTGAGGCACAAAGTCAAAATGCACCTACTTGTTCCTGTCCCATTCCCCTCCCCCAACAGGTAAGGATGCACAGAGGCTTTCAACAAAGATTAAACAGGAGAGTTGGGGGGTGCGGGGGAAGGGGCACAGGCTTTGGTTCATGCAGACCTGGGACAGAACCAAAAACAGTATACACTGGGCAAGTTCAATACTCCAAGTCTTGGTACCCTCCTCTATAAAGTGTGCACAGAGCCTCCTAACCCAGGGGTCAGCAAAGATTTTCTCCAAGGGGCCAGAGTGTAAATATTTTCAGCTTTGCAGGCCGTGTGCTCCCTGTCACAACTACCCAGAGCTCTGCTAATGTGGCACAGAAGCAGCCATCAACAATACATAAAGGAATGGACATGGCTGACAGCCAGTTAAAACTTTATAGACAGAAACAGGTGGAGGGCAGTTTGCTAATCCCTGGCCTGATGCCCCCTGCCGTGGAAAGGATTAAGTGAGGTCATGATTATAAAATACTTCAAGGCTGAGCATAAAATAAATGCTTAGTAAATTCCAGTCTCTATTACTATTATTAATATAATCATCATCACTGATACAGACCCTGAGCACTTAAAGTTTTAAAACACTTCAAACCTGGGGTGCCTGGGTGGCTTAGTGGGTTTAAGTGTCTGCTTTCAGCTCAGGTCACGATCTCAGGGTCCCAGGATTGAGCCCCACATCGGGCTCCCTGGTCAGCGGGGAGTCTGCTTCTCCCTCTGCCCCTACTCTTGCTGTCTCTCTCTCTCTCCCTCTCTCAAATAAATAAAATGTTTTAAAAAATAAAATTTTTTATTTTTTTAAGATTTTATTTATTTATTTATTCATGAGAGTGAGAGAGAGAGAGAGAGAGAGAGAGAGAGAGAGAGAGAGAGACAGGCACAGGCAGAGGGAGAGGGAGAAGCAGGCTCTGTGCAGGGAGCCTGACGTGGGACTCGATGCCGGGTCTCCAGGATCAGGCCCTGGACCCAAGGCGGCGCTAAACCGCTGAGCCACCCGGGCTGCCCAAAAATAAAAAATTTTAAACAAAACACTTTAAAATTAGAATTAGGTGCACCTGGGTGGCACCATTAAGCATTCCAACTCCTGGTTTCGGCTCAGGTCATGATCTCATAGTCCTGAGATTGAACCCTGTGTCAGGGCTCAGCCGAGAGTCTTTCTCCCTCTCCCTCTGCCCCTCCCCCCACTGCGCTCTCACTCTCCAAAATAATTAAACAAATCTTGAAAATAAATAAATAAAATTAAAAGTAATTTTACTTTATATCCTATTGCATAAGCCAGATGGTTTATTTTCAATCATATAAAATCAATACATCATATATGCGCTCACCTTTCTTACCCGAAATAGTAAATCAAGTTTTTTTGTCATTTGGCCGATAATGTGCATTCCCAATAAAATTCTCATAGTTTCTCTTTTGTAGCATGCTGCTAGACAAGTGTTGATACGACACAGGCCTTTTTCCTGTGGGGAAAAAAAATGTGGAAACGTCTTTAGAATTAAGTTCAACAACTGGGAGGATGTATATGGGTTGTCAGAGGTCAATTTTCACAATTCCTGACTGGTAATGTGATCAGAACACACCAGTTGCGTTCATGTTGCAAAGTTACAAGTAAAATGTTTTTAAGTGCCCTGAGGACATGTGCTAGCATAAAATTGTAAGTCACTATAGCTAAAACAGATCTAAGTACTATCCTGTCACTAATAAGAACTATAAAGTTAAGATCCATGGTTTAGGCACAGAAAAAAAAAAATCCCCAAAAATGGTAGCATAAAATATTTTAAACTTACATACACCATAAACCAAAACTGTGGGGAAGAGGAGAAAAAATAGTTTTCTCAGAAAAGGATTTTTATGGGGCACCTGGCTGGCTCATTTGGTGGAGTATGCAATTCTCAATCTCAGGGCTGTGAGTTCAAGCCCCATGTTGGGTGTAGAGATTACTTAAAAATAAAATCTTTAAAAAGTAAAAAAGGATTTTGCTTCTAACACAGAGCCCAGACTCTTCGATTAAAGGCAAAGTTTTGACGCCTGTCCGTTTTAAGAGCTGGCAGGGAGAAAAATAGGCAGTTTTAATCAAAAGGCTGCAAAAATTAATATTTCATCACAATTTTTATGAAATTCACTGGAGTGTGTGAAAGCAATTGTTTTTTAATTTGCTATCCCTACCCGATCAAATGGCATCAAGCTATCCTTGATAAGAGTATTGTCACCACATAGAATCCTTAATTTGAAATTAATACAAACTGAGAGGCTTAAAATGGATTTCTCCTTGGGGCTGCACAAACCAGCAGGACTTATATCTGACAAAGGAAGTGGTTTAATCAAGTTTGCCAAGTGGGCCAGGTCCCCAGGACACTCTGATCTACCTCTTTATGTGCACAGGTACGCACCATGCACCCCTAAGGGACTGTGGCCAGGAGGAAGCTGGGGTTTTGAAAACATTTCCATGGGGAGAACTCCAAAGTAAATCCACGACTTAATCTATCCATTTAGGAGAAAGTCGTCCCTTTTACGATGCACTTGGAGTTTAACAAATGCTAAATAAGACAGCGAGAGCCGAAAATCCTAGTTATCAAAACCATTCAGAAGCCATGCACTGGGGGGCTCCTAGGCTTTCTGTCCCTGGTGGGCGGAGAGCGCCTGCCCCTGGGACCTCACTGGGTGGTGCACCTGCTCCTGGGGCTCACTGGGTGGCACACCTGCCCGTGGGGGCTCACCGGGTGGTGCAACTGTTCCTGGGGGCTCACCGGGTGGTGCACCTGCCCGTGGGGACTCACTGGGTGGCGCACCTTCCCCTGGGGGCTCACCGGGTGGCGCACCTGCCCCTGGGGGCTCACCGGGTGGCGCACCCGCTCCTGGGGGCTCACCGGGTGGTGCACCTGCTCCTGGGGGGTTAACCGAGTGGCGCACCTGTTCCTGGGGGCTCACTGGGTGGCGCACCTGCTCCTGGGGGCTCACTGGGTGGCGCACCCGCTCGTGGGGGCTCACGGGTGGTGCACCTGCCCGCGGGGACCCGATCGCCCCGAACTTGGAGGAGGGACAGAAGCCGAGGTCCGGCTCGGGGAGCAGGGAACCCGCGCAGCCCCCCCCCGCCCCGCCCCGCCCCGCCGCACCCCCCCCCCACCCCGGGCTCACCTTCCGCCGCGGGCCCGCAGAAGAGCGGCGCGGGCGCGGCGCGGGCCTTGGGCGGCAGCGCAGTGGGCGGTGGGCACACGCACTCGGCGGGCAGCAGCGTGGGCAGGCCGCGCACCACCTGGTACTTGGGCAGCTCCAGCGCGCGGCGGAAGGCGGGCGCGGGCGGCTCGGCGTCGGGCCGCGGCCGCTTGGCCAGGGGCTCCCCGGGCTCGGCGGGGCGGCCGCTCGGGGGGTCGCGGCCCCGCGGGGCCCAGGGGCGCTCGGCGCAGCCGTTGGCGGCGGCGCTGGCGGGGGGCGCCCGGGGCCTGGCGTCGGGCCTGCGGCCGCGCTCCACGTACACGGGCTCTGCAGGCCGGGCGGCCCCCGGCGCCCCCCCGGGCCGCGGCGCCTTCAGGTTGCTGGGCGCTAAAGTGCTGGGGTCGAGGCCCGGCGGCGGCGGGGGCCTGGCGGGCGCGGCGGGGCCCGGCTTCCCGCGGTCGCGGTCGCGGTCACGATCACGGTCCCGATCACGGTCCGATCGGTCGCGGGCGCGGCCTTGGCGGGCGGCGCGGGGGCGGGGGCGGGGGCGGGGGCTGGGGCGGGCGCGGGCCGGGCCCGGGGCCGGGGGCAGTGCGCCAGCGGGGCCACGTCCTTGCCCAGCAGCGCGGGCGGGCAGCCGGTGCGCCGACTGCGCAGCGCCGACTTGCTCCGGCAGTTTTTGTGGATGTCGGGGTTGTACTTATGCTCCAGTCTCTGGTGCATCATCAGAACCTCCGGATAAAAGGTCTTGAAGGTACAAAACGGGCAGGTGATCCCTGGGATTAAATTCTTGCTCAGAGAAATGGCCGGGCAGCCGTGAAGAGCCCCGAGGGACAGGTTCAGGGGCTTCTCCTGACAGTCCGCGCCGGGCAGGTGCCTGCCGTCGGCCGCCGTCCCCGCCGGCTGCTCCCGGGCGCCCGGATCCGAGCCGTGGGCCGCGCCGTGGGCCGCACCGAGGGCCGCACCGAGGGCCGCACCGAGGGCCGCACCGAGGGCAGGGACCCCCGCCTCTGTTCTACCCGCGGGCTCCGCCGCCTGGGGGTCACCCGGTGGTCTCTTCTGTAACACGTCCAAATACACAGGGGCAGAAGTTTTGCCTATTTTATCAGTACTGTCATCAGTTGCACGTTTGTTGAAATCCTGAGTATCTTTGTGTACTGGCGAGAGGACAGTGCTGCCCAGAACATTCGGAAACGTAGAGGCCATCCCCTTAAACTGCTTCGAAGGTGGGCTGCCTTTAACATCTTTGGCACCATCAAAAAATCTTTTCAAATTTTTGGTTTGCGCACTGTCGGCGGCTAGTAGTGCATCTTCCATCTCCTGGTTTTTCCCATCGTTCTTGACTTCCGAGGCAAGATCGATCTGTTTGTCCTTATGATGTCTCTCCAAGTGATACCGCAGAGAGGTCTTCTGGGCTGCAGCATAGTCACAGAATTCACATTTGTATGGTTTTTCACCTAAAACGAGAAACGTCACTGTGTCACACAAGTTCTTGAGCAACATCAAAATAGACCTTTGGAAACTAGAATCATCTGCCAAGAGAGAATATAGGGTCTTTCCTTTTCCTGTCTCTCGCTGTAATCTTCATATTCAGGATCTTTCACAGTTGCTCGCTTTTTATTGAGAAATGTGACAAGTCTTTAATTTAAAAAAAAAAAAAAAAAATAGGGCAGCCCTGATGGCTCAGCAGTATAGCACCACCTTCAGCCCAGGGCGTGATCCTGAAGACTCGGGATCAAGTCCCGGGTCAGGCTCTCTGCATGGAGCTTGCTTCGCCCTCTGCCTGTGTCTCTGGCTCTGTGTGTCTCTCATGAATAAATAAAATCTTTTTAAAAAAATAATAAATAAAATAAATTTTAAAAATAAAAAAAATTGCACATTTTAAACTTATTTGACCTTCATAATAGCTCTATGAAACAGAGTATCTTTATCCTACTTTTACAGCTAGGAACACAGAGGCACAGAAAGGTGAAGTAACTTCCCTGAAGGTACACAGCTGGGGAGTGGATGAAATGCAGTTCAAGCCCACCCAGCTTCCTGAACCACTACATTACAGCCACTTCGGCCATCTAAATACTAAATATATGCTTGTTGCATTCTAGATCGCAACAATAACACACACACACACACACACACACAAGCTGTGGCATTAAAAAAATATTGAAGAGGTTTCAATAAGCAGAGACAGTAGTCAGAAACCAAATAAGAAACTATCTTCCAAACAGAAGAGTTCAAGTACAAGGACACTAACAGACTTTTTTTTTTTTTTTTTTTAATTCATGATAGGCACACAGTGAGAGAGAGAGAGAGGTAGAGACATAGGCAGAGGGAGAAGCAGGCTCCATGCAGGGAGCCCGATGTGGGATTCGATCCCGGGTCTCCAGGATCGTGACCTGGGCCAAAGGAAGGCGCTAAACCGCTGCGCCACCCAGGGATCCCGGACACTAACAGACTTAAAAGGACAGCTGCCCTCAACATACTACACACTTTTAAAACTATTCCAAGGGTCTAACAGAATATTTGAACAAGATAAAAAGTCAAGGCACAAAACCCCACATCAGAATTCTTTGAATACGAATTAAGAAAATCTAGGAAGTTCCTTACCTGTATGCGTTCTGAGATGAATATTGAGGTAATAATTTGAACGGAAAAACTTCCCACAATAACTACATTCTCTTGAGGATGTAAGATGCTTTATTTTTCCTCCATCATCATTTTTATCTTAAAGTAGAAACAAAAATATTTACGTAAGAAGACAGCTCAAGGACACAAGGAAGACAAGCTTACTTGGGGGGACCCTGGATGGGAAGATTTTTAGGAAGGCATAAAACAATTTTTTTGTATTAGTGTTGGAGTACATCAGAAAGGACAGGAACACACCAAATGCTGTTTTGGGGGTTGCTTGTTTTCTGAAGCTTTTTATGACACATGCGCCCTGTTTTTTGGGTTTTGTTTTTGTTTTCTGAGTACAGAAGAATTTGGTGTCACCAATTCGGTTCCTCCTTTGTTGCCTCCATCACAGGGAAGATCATTTCACAGACTGACATGCTTGGGCAACTTTCTGATCTCCCGACATGTCTGCAGCAGGCAGGATCTGGCACAGTGAGGCTGGACCTACAGACACTGGCTGGAATAACCAGCTTCTTCTGAGTAAGTGATTTAGAAAACAGGGCCAATAGAAATTGCCAGTTTTCCCAACTACCAGGGAAAAGAAGTGCATCTTGAGATCAGGCCAGCTACCACTAGAGGGTAGCAAGCACAACTTAATCTTTAAAAAGAAAAAAAAGGTTTGGCGTTGGGTCAAAAAAAAAAGAAAGTTTGTGAAATTTAGCACATTTCAGAAAACAAATTTCATCATTCGTGAGCATTCACGTGGGCAAAAATGTATCTGCGATCAATCAAGATCTGTCCCCAAGTGACAATGGGCTACACTTTATTATACTTCAATCTCTGCAATGGCCAGGACGCTGTATCTCTGCTGCAACAGCGTCAAGGTCTACTGGGAACACTCATTAAAAGATGATTAGACCTCAATACCAGCCCTCCAAAAGACAGTTACGTTCGCTGCAGGTAAGCTACTTGCTCCCATAAAAAAGAGCGTTAAAGCTCTAGAGAAACCTCCTCTTACTCAGGATTGAATTATGTGCACTACCATGAGGGAAAGAGAAGTGAGATCATCTCTCAGAAACTGACCCTAACTAAACTGGCTTTTTTGTCTTGAAAACTGTTAACTCCACTAAAAAAAGCCTCTTTTCCCTGCTCCTTGCTCATTCTGCATTTCAAGATTACATATACCTGGTTTACAGATTCTAAAAAACAGCCTATAAGCCACCCATGGGCAGCCTCCTGTACAACAGACAGAGGACTGTATGATCCCCTCACCCTCAGCTCCCCTGAGGAAAACCTCTAGATACCTCCAAACATACTAAAACAGCAGAGACAACCAGTGATTACGAAGACTTAAAAGATAATCACGTGCAACAACCACTATTAAACTTACCATAAAGCTGAACAAACATAAATACAAAATAAAATATACCTAGTTTGCCTTTTGTCTTCTTAAAAGTAAATCTAATAGAAAGCCCGGTTGATAGAAAGTAACAGCAAGATAAATCTAGACCTCCACACCATAAAATAAATTTGGGAAAACCAATTCTCTAAACACAGAAGGCCCAGCTTTGTCTTACAATCACACCCAACTAGCTGAGTTTGAACCTTACTGCAATTTCCTACTCCCAAGTATGTGTCAGGATTTATGGTAGGTTACATCACATCCAAAAAAGTTAGGAAATCCGTCGATTTTAACAGAAAGGACACAAAATGACCACATACACCTGGTTCCTCCTCCTTTAGCATCACCTCTGATTTTTACAGCGCTAGTTCTTCAAGGACTGCAAACTTTTTACCAGTAGGCTGTTGAAATTCACCTTGCAAGGTAGAAATCAGGGGTCGATGAACCAACTTTGCAAACAGGGAAATCAGGGCGAAGAAAGGTGAAGCAACATGTAATGGGGCCACAAAACAACACAGTGGTAGAACCAGACTGCAGGCAAGTCGTGGCGCTCCCAGCTATTGCCAGGCGTTCAAGCCGCCTGCGACCGAGATTTCCACCAGAAGCTTCTGCCCACACCACCTACTGGCAGAATGAGACCCACCATTTCACTTCTTTCAGGGCGCCGGGGCAGCGCCGGGACTAGTCATCCCCCCGTTACCGCATGCCCCCGAACAGGACGCACACTACCAGGACCCTCTGTGAAGACAAGGCCTGTGTTCAAGGCCTTTCTATGACGTCATGAAGACATCATAATGTCATCATTTTCTAGATCTCTGAAGACTGTAATATCCTAAGTGCTAGGTTCCCTGTGTCCCCTGAAACTCAAACCATTCTAAAAACTCAATGTGCACATCGTGTGCTTGGAAAAAGAATCGGGCGCAGGCTTGGAGGATGAAGAGGCCAGCGAATCATCTGGTCAGATTCATCCTGGGGCTCGCTCACAGGTTCTCACAAGCCAGCCGCACACCAGCAGGTTATAGGGAAAGAAGACAGCAGCGTGTGCTTAAACCAAAGACCACATTTGTGAATGGCAACGTCCCTGTAAGACTAACTCATGTTCCCATCATTCAGTTGTTGAAGATGCAGGGGCTCTTTTAACGGTCTTCGAGTAGCAGAGTCCTTTACTCAAACAAATTATAATTAAATGGATTGAAGCAGCACCGGGTTAAGTGCTGCTGGGCGAGACGTGAAGCACGGGTGAGCTCCTCCGCCTTGGAAAATGTCCACTGGGCTTCAAGAAAGAAGAGGTCAGTGAGCCTCCAGCAATGGCTTCTGTTTCGTCCAAGAGCCATCAGTACCTGAGAAATCTGACTGAGCAAGTGACATTTCTTTTAAACCATCTTTGGGGTGTTCACATTCCCTTTACACACAAATGGTCTTAGTTCCTGAACTGCTAACAATCACTAGCCCACCAGACAGAGGAGGACAGGGTACCTAGGTAGCACCGCACAGTTTCTCTAAAGGTGCTGATAATTATTCCAGTACCTTCTGCAGCAACTAGAACATCATCTGGAATAAGTGTATGAGAGCTGGGTCTTGGAGGACAGGGAATTTGGTTACACGAAAGGAGAACCTGTTTTTATAGATAAGATCTGGCGTGCCACGAAACGTCAGCGAAGCCCAGGGTCTCCCAACCTTGAGGCCATGGCCACCAGTGTGGGGTCGCCCCGTGCACAGTAGGATGTTGAGCAGCACCCTGGCCTCCACCCCCTGGCCTCCAGCAGCCTGCGTACTAACACAGCTGTGACAACCAAAGATCTCTCTAGATGCTACCAGATTCCACAGGGGGCCACACTGCCCCAGGTCGGAAGCCCGGTGTAAGGGAAGACGCCTGTCCTCTGTTGGCAAAACACAAAACACCACGGGTTTTCAGAGGCGGAAGAAACCCTGAGGACAGTCGAGGCCCTGAGAGGTGAAGGGACCTGTTACAACAGGGTGGTAGCGGAGGAGCCGGTGTTTGGGGGGCCGGGAACAGAGGGGGGCAGCACACAACAGAGCACGCTTACCCAAATGGAGCCCTTCCGGAAGTCCATCCTCAGATCCATCTTCAGAACCACCTTCTCGGTCGACGGCTCCATGCTCATCCAGGGTGGTGGGGAGGTCCGGAGAACACGTCCGAGGCTGCCTCCCATCGACGGACATGGTGGGCGACCCGGCGTCGGCCCTCCGGTCCTTCTTGTGCACTCGCGAGTGCAGCACCAGCTGGTGGTAGGTGCGGAAGGCTTTGCCGCATTCCGAGCAGTGGGTCGGCTTCTCTTTGTGACCCGACAGCTTCGGGTCCGCTTCCACAGAAGGCACTTCACCATTGGAGGGTCTGGGCTTCTCTTTATCTTGGGAGAAGCCCGCACAACCGCTCTTACTGGTCTTGGACTTGCCAGAACCTTCGGAATGGTTTTTACTCGCATTCCAAATTTCTACGAGCTCCTCTTTTTCTGAACACGAGTCATCGTTGTCAGTACTTCCTTCTTGCCCTGGCTGCTCCTTCACTTCCCGGCACACGGCCACTTTTCCTTTGGTGGCCAGCTGCCAGGCCTGGTAGGTGGTGAACGGATCGAGCTGAGGTATCCATTTTGTGGGCTTCTTGACGGTTTCGGGGTGAGATGTGGGTCTCAAGTTTAAAAACTGCAGGAGCTCTTGCCCCGGGGCTGGCATGCCCCCCTGCTGACAGTCTGTTTGTGTACTGCTGGCACCGGAAGCCGTCTCTTTGCTGTGCATCTTCCTGTGATCGATTAGACTTTCCTTATTTGGAAAGAGGAAGCCACAAACCATGCAGATTTTGTAAGGAGAGGAGATGCTCTCGGCCGCGTGCTCCTGCACCACCTCGTTGATGGTTACCGGGCTCTCCGAGCCTTGCTGCAGTTTGCTCTTGGCTCCAGATTTGCCAGTGTGTGTCCGCATATGATTTTTAAGAAACCACGGCTCCTTGAATCTTCTTCCGCACACATTACACCCGTAGGTGAAGGAGTCCTTATGCTTCTTCATGTGGATCTCGACGTCGAAAGCAACTCTAAATGTCTGCCCGCATACTTCACAGCTGAATTCTTCATTTTCTTTGCAATTCTTGTCCTTGGGAGGTTCTGTTCTTACTTGACTTTTATCAAGAGGACTAAGATACTCTGCTTCAACGCGCAGAACTGCTGGCTCACAGAGGATAGGCCGATGTTGCATTAAGACGTGTTTATTAAGGTCTTCTGAATGTGTGAAGGTCTGATTGCAAAACATACAGTCCAAGGGCATATATCCTTCTATCTGGATGATACTTTTCTCCTGCGTAGCTCTGAAAGGAACAGCGGTGGTCCCTTTTATTGACACGGCATCATCTAGCTCCATCTGGGTGCCCAGGGAATTGCCAATAACTTCTGGTCCATCCATATACACTAACAGGGATTGAGTGGGCATGTTTCCTGGCACTTTAGGATTGTATATAAAATAAGAATCCGGTGGAGGAATTTCTGGAATTGGAATAAGGCCACTTGTAAGACTTGTCACTCACACCCCCAGCAGCCCTGGGACTTAAAACTAGAACAAATATTTGTTATAAAAGTTCAAAAGAAAGTATATATTCCTGTAGCTTCTTATCTTCAGAAGTCTTAGGAAGCTCGGTGACAGAGCCTCTCACTGGTTCTTTCCACAAACAAGGCAGACAGACTCCCCAATGCTTTGATTCAAATATGAGTCAGCACAAAGCATTAATTCTCTTTGTCTCCACTGAGTGAGTGATTCAATTGAGCAAGAAGTCAATCCCAGCAACCTGGAGACAAGGGATTTCCAAAACCTAGAGGGGGAAAGAAAAACAGAAATAGTTAGCTGCAGCCAGAGAAAAGAGAAGCCTGGTGTGGACGAATCACAGCTGGTCTGCTCTTAGCAGAGGAGGCGCCTAGGTCATCTGCTCCACTGTTAACTAACACAGTGCATCCTGTTAAACATGCTCGTTAATTAAATCATTAGCATTTTATCCAATCAGTACACTTATCAAATCGCTAGATTTTCATCCAGTTAAGAAACTTAGCACGTGGTCCTTTAATGATTTAAATCTAAAATGTAAAGATTCAGGACAGAAACTGTTAAATACAGCCAAATACATTCTGAATGCCACTACCATGCACACGTGTAGCCTTATAAACAGGCTCCACTAATCTAGAGAGTATGCCAACTGTGAAAAATGACAATTACAGCACTTGAAGTAAAAATATAAAAGCCAGAACTTCACACTGTCTTATATACAGTCGAGAAACACAAATGCCTAAACGCACCCTCGAAGCTTACACAGGCACTGGGGCCAACAACATACACACACACGAAGCTTTCCTAAAATCCACATACAAAAACTACAGAACACCTCAGAATGATGCTCATCTTGGCCAAGAGAAACTTCCATCATTGTGGTTCACAGAATATTCTATTCCTCAACCCACTGCCCAAAGGCCGGGTTGCTTTTAACAACTTTTCTGCCTTCTGCAGGCGTTAGGGTAGGGCTTCCTTGTCTACACAATAAATAAGGAAATACATACACAAAGCTACTTTCTGAATATACACTTGAAAATAAAACCCTCCACACGGCCAGTTCAACGTGGTCCTCCCATTTTTAACCCACCTTTCACATTCTGCACTGGCCAGGTGAAAAAAAAAAAACGGATTCTTTGAATAAATTCAGCTCTGCAGGCTCAGGTTTAGAAGCTAATTGTCATTCTTGAAGAAGAATTAATCTCCAAAAACCCCATACCACCCACCCCTCACCTTTCTGGCAAGCACAGAATTGGTTTTAAATAGTCTCAACTTCTTTAGCTGAGGTCTGTTAATTCTACCCAACAAAAAGAGTTGCAAACTACTCCCACCACCTTCAACTTTACTTTCTTCTCTCCACTTCCTCAAAGAGCAAGGGCCTGCAGGCTCACAGAAGACAAGGAAACATTTCTTCCCCCTTCTTTACATTCATAATAAAAGAAAACTCTCAGGCCCCTTGCTATCTTTAGTTTTGAATAAACCAGATCTTTAAGATGAAGCTTTTTTAAATAAGACTGCAGATCAAAGATTAGAGTCAAGAAAGAACATACAGAAGTGTTTTATCTTAACTTCTTAGTTATAATCACAATGGAGGATAAAACACAGGGGCTGGCTACCAGAGTGTTAGAACACCCCAGAGACCTGAGTTCTAGTTCTGGCTAAGTCCCAACGCTGAGGCTATCACCGCCACATACCCCATTTTTACCTACTTGATGTAGACGGTTAAATGACAGGATCATCCTCAAGAGTTCTAAATTTCTATGGCTGGGGGGATAGATCTACATTTATGGATAGACCTACTCAAAAGAATACTTAATGCTATCCTAAATCAAGATATTAAATGATATTTGAAAATGTAACTGATAATTTAGGGTCCTATGCAGTCATTTATTCATTCAGCAAATATTTACTGATTGCGAGCATACCGGGTAATATTTTTAATTGAAGACATTATCAGTACTTATTCTAGAAAAGCAGCTCTCAAACTCAGACAACATTGTTTTCACCAGCCAACAGATATATGAAAAACCAACAACTCAATGAATTCTACACCAACTAGAATAGATTAACTTCAATTTGAATAAAGGCTGTCCTCTATGAGGTCCTATTTTTGTGGTTGCAAAACAGCTTTTTAAAAAATGAAAAGAGTGGCAACAGCAAGCAGTAAAGTCTTTTTAATCCCCTAATTTACCAAAACCAAAGTCAGTCCTCCATGTCAGACCTCAACATGAACTGGCTGGTTTTTTAAAGAAATGTTACTACTCTGTGATACTTTAAACTGGGAGGAACTCCAGTTTTCTACAGGTAATCTTTCCCAAAAAGAAACCAATCCTAAACTCACTCCTTGAATGAGGAACATGATGTGGGTACATCCCTATTATTTCTCACCCAGGGTAATGGCAAATAACTGGAAATGCCTGTCTTTGAAAAATAGTTTAGCTTCAATTTTTATCTGAGATGTTCAAACGTCTGGGTTAAGGAAGTCATCATCAGCTTCTAATACAAGACCTGAAGGATTAGTAAGGAGGCACAGTGCAAAATAAATAAATAAATAAAATCTCAGCAGAAAGAAGAGCTTCAGTTTTGCTGGGGGTGGGGGGAAGGACAGAGGTCCAGAGATGAGGGGAAGGATGTCCTCACCCCGAGTCTCCTAGTATGGTCAGATGGAGAAGACCACTCTCCCAGGCAAAAAGCCCAAGTACTTCTTCCTCCAGGAAAGCTTCTGGCACAGATTCTGATAATCATTAACTGTACCCAACTGTCCTAAGCACTGGACTATCTTGGGTCATAGCCATCCTTACTACTCACCCAGGATATGAAAACCCTGGGCCATTTCTTTGAAGATCCTAGGAAGAGAGAGACCCTGTCCAGCTTGTTCCCTGCTGTCCCCCCATGCCTAAAAGGAGTCTCTGGCCCAGGGTCAGGCCCTCAATCAACACCTAGTGAATAAATGAACAAAAACTACATCGTCAGTCCAGGTGTGGAATCAGTACTGCACATCTTTAGCCATGGTCACCAACCATAACTGATCTGGTATTAAAATTAACTCGAAGGCTCGTCAGAACATCAACAAGGCTGGCTCTCTGTGGCTGCCATCTAATATATACCATTCTCTGCCATTTCCAGGGTGTAATTAAAAAAAAAAAAGAATCATATTTAATCATACCATAATCATACCATGAAGCTGACCAGCACAGAGCAAAACTGTGTCATCTGGACTGAAAACTACTCTCCCTTTACTGACCCACCAGCACAGAAATGCAGGACAAGCTGGGGAAATCTCTGATAGCAAATGCCTTCAACTCTTGACTTAGAAACTGAATGCAGACTAAGCACTTCCTTAACCTATAAACCAATTATCTACAGCACTTAAAACCAATCTGCTAACAAAATCTAAAATCTTTAGAGTGACTGCAATAATAAAGACTGTCATACTAACAAAACTCACCAAAAAATAGACATTCTAATCTAATTACTGTTCATAACAGCCATTCCGGTGGAGCGAAGTGAGCACCCACACGGCCTTCCCTGAACCCGCGGCGCTCCAGGTGGGGCACACGGAAGCCAAGGACACACCAAGGCCCTGCTGGCAGAGGAAGTTGTCTGTCTTCACAAAGAACTGGAGGAAGGAGGAGGAGATCATAATGCAACCCTACAATCTGAATGCTTTTAGTCGGCAGAAAGTGAGCATTCAGGACATACTAGGCTAACTGCAAGGCAGTTGGCAAAAATGTTTTTCAGCGTTGAAAAAAATGCTCTTAAACCTTTAGTCGGGTAAATGACAGCCCTTAACCTTCAACCATTCGCCCCCAGGCACCTGAGGCAAGAGGTTATCGGGTATCACCTCATTTTCTGAGACAATACTAGGGCTCACTTTTTGTATTATGATTATTTAAATAAAGACTTCAAAAAAATTTACAACATAATCTTTGGGGAAAAAAGGGAACCATATTGCTGTAACCGCCTAGAATAGAAGTCTAATGCTCTTTAGGCCAGGTCTCCTGTCGGTTTTTTTGTTTGTTTGTTTTCCTTTTCAAAGCAGATACGCATTTAAGAGTAAAGCTCCCACGAATTCGGCCACTACCTCTAGATTTTGAAATTCGCAAATATTACACAGTATACGACGCTTCATGAAAAACACAGCAATTTGTGCTTCAGCACAACACATTAGAAGTAAACGCCACCTTGGTGACAACTGCTGCAACTCAGGAGTAGTTCCTTATAGCCAAGTATGCTCACACTGTTAACCTTTAGAGACCGCACAGCCCCTACTTCAGTGGAACAGGTTATCTTACATTTTTTTATATGGAATATTTATTACCCTATTATGGAGCAACAGGAACTCAAAGTCCTCAAAAACTGCCAAAACATATAAATATTCTATTTATAGCCAAGTAATTTGCAGTATTCCTGCAAACCTACTTTTTCCCTCCGAGTCACTTAAGTGTCCAAATAAATGATCATTAAAATATTTAGCCCAAACAAACTGCTGGTCTCCGGCCAATTCATTTGTACCCTTTAAACAGCAAAATTATCTCCAAGATCTGGTCAGGAAACTTACAGTTTTTTCTATAAATGTTCCTTCTGTAAGGTCACACATACTGTTTCTTGTCTTAATCCGACCAGTGAAGAGAACTGCACATAGGAAGCCACAGTGGCAATCCAAACCTGTAACTTTAAATCCTTTAACACTATTTCAAGGAAATCACCAAGGTCACACCCATGAGCTAAATGGTCAACCCAACTTTCCTAATGTAGCTGTGGAAAGATGTTGAAAAGTGAAAGAAAAAGATTAAAATATTCAGAAGTTTACGTTCAACATCACAATCTAAACTATTCAAAAGCAAACGACTCTTCAAAGGCAAAGCCCGGGGACAGATCCAGATCCTGAACACTGTTAAGTGTTCAGTCCCAAATACGATCAGAGACCAAAGTACCATAGAAAAAAATAACCGTATCAGTATATTTGAGCCTCAACACTAACAACTCTGATTCATTCCAAATCAATTAAGGTCAGTTAAAGGATCCTAATGTGAACACGAAGCACCACATATTAGTTTTAGTTTCAGTATTATCGATATTCACAGATACTGTGCTCTGTGAACTGGCTCTTAAAAATTCCAGCCTGACCGGAAAAAGAGAACTCTAAGGGAAATGAATAAAAAAATAATTTTCTTTAAAAGCAAGATTAAAAAAAGCACTGCTATGGGTCAGGTTCCACTACTGCTACTTAACCAGTACTACCTTCAATACTTTGAAAGATTTTAGACAGGACTGACACCAGAAAGAAGATTTCGACAAACTAAAACAGTAAACCCTTCTATCTTTACCCGTATTCTTTCGCTCCCCACAAGGAAAACACCCTGTGTATGCACACACACGCGCAGCTAACTGGGGATACAGATAAAATAACTATAGCCATCATACTACACCAATACCCTACACACCTACACTTCTTTTTCAACAAGGCCAAATGGTGAGTGTTCTTAATTCTACCCAATTTAACTAACCAGATTAAATATAAACATGGGCACTGCCTTTTAAGGCATGAGCTCTTTCTTTAGCAACATTTAAATAATCCCCTCCCTATCACTGTTGAGTAAATACTAAAGTTGTATGTCTGGCTCTTCTAAGTCACCTGTTTGCTTTCAAAATTAAGGGGGGGGGACTCCTCTTTCAATTAATACATATAATCACTGTTGAGTCGATTTATATATTTATATACTGAACTAAAAACAAAGCTTATCCGCAGAGTTAAAAAAAAAAAAAAAACGCAAACACGCTTCTTCTGGCATAACTGAACTGTTCTGAAAAGTTACCTTGATTTTGACACAGGTAGGAAAAATAACAACACGTAGTTCTCCTAATGCTGATGCAAGAACAAGATGGATCTGGACTCTCAATCGCCAGTCCATAGAACTGTATCTTAAAATTCAAGAGGTTTCCTGACACACTAGAAACTAATGAACAGCAATACACAAACCGCTGCGGAACCCATTACAAAACGGGCATCTGACTCCAGGGTGGGTAGAGGCTCTTCTGTACCAAGTGAAGGAATGTGGAGGTCAAAGAGAACTTAGGTGAAGCCTTCAAGAACAAAAGCTAAGGAATTTGGGCGAATTCTTCTCATTTAACTTACCCAGCTGTCTTTTCAGGTTTAGTAATTTTATTTCTCAACTTTATCATAAAATTACCAAACTGGCCCCTAATTTCCAGTAACTCAGTTATGTAGTTACCCGGGGCAGGAAGTAATGGGGATGTTAAGAACAGTCAGTCAACAAATGTTCAAATGTAAAGTCGTTAATGAGCATTCCAATGTTCAGCATAAAAGGGTAGCTTGTGGTGGCAGCTGGATGACAGGGGCTGCCCCACTGTTTATTTGGAAGATCGCTTTATACAGGAATTGAGCTTGCTCATCACAAATGGCAGATTTTAGGAAAGGATGGTCCCTGTCCCACTTCCTCAAAATCAGATTTCTATCTGCTCTCATGGTCTCAATTCAAAATCCTGTGCCCCACACACACACCGCTGGCAAATTTGCCTAACTAGATGACTGGCTAGAGAAAAACAATCCAGATCACCGTCTTCCTTAAAAAGCCAACAAACTCAGTAAGTTTTTTTTACATTGCCCTCCAAGGGAGGCCATTTGGTTATAACGATCAAGCTTCCCCTCTCCCAAATTTCAGAAATTTCCTGCTGTCTTTGTGTCAATCCTTCTTTCTTCCACGTGCACTTACACCGGTTAACACCCCTCCCCCTACAAAATCTGGAAATGAGGTGTACAGATCGACATCCCACCACAGACTCCAGCGTGGTCTACATGCTGTAACTAAACCTTTCACTATTTAAAGCGTTTCATGTGATTGGGACGAGATTTCTTTAGTTTCTGCTGGGTAGCTGTCCTGTAAACAAACACCTTCCAGGTTTTTCTTTCTAACACCTCAGTTAACGTGGAAACTGTTCTGTATGTTCCAAAGGTAGTCGTTTACATTAAAATCTCATTACACTTTATTTTATTCTAGTGGAATAGTCCTCAGCTTATACAATGCTCTCAGATTTCTCGTTCCTACTGTACAACTCTAAAGCCTGAAAATATATAGCCATTGTTCAGGACTTTGGCTTCAACTTTCCAATTCATTTACTAAACATACTGCTACGGGGTTAAACTCAAATAGGAAATTAGCAATGAACCATTTAAAATAAGTCATCCCCAACAACCTCAAAAACCCTTACACACAGGCCACACTGGCGTCTGTGAGATGGAACACTCTCAACTGAAATTGTCTTTGAGCAAATGGAAACAAAGCTTCACGTAAAACATAAAAAAGGTCCAATCATTTACAATCCTACAAGCGTCAGAAAGAAGTACCTTTTTTTTTTTCCTTCAAGTAGAGATAGTAGACAGTCAAGAGTCATTAAAACTACTCCAAAGTTCTTATCCACCAAGATCATGTTTGTGACAACTGTGAGAAAAGAATGTGATTTTATAAAGTGGGAAAACAGCACATCTTTTGGGACCCCTGAGGCTCTAATCAAGCGTCTCAGAATTAAGAGTGCTCCAGGGTTGGGAAAAGGCAGCCCTGCTGTGGCAAAAACATGCCATTTCATCATAAATGTTGTTAAAAGAGAGAAAAGTGATTATCTGAGATGAGGAGAGAGGGACTCCGTCGTTGCCAGGCCATTATATTCCTTAATGATTTCATCAGTCTGTAAGTGACTTGATGATGAAGTCTTATTTTCTGATTTCCTCTTTAAAGGTCCACTGGAAGGGAACCAGGGGCTGCTGCTATTCCTCCCAGAAGTTCCTCTGCCAAAAATGGAGGCTTACAAAGAGAATGCAAATCTACCTCCACCTTAAAAGTAAAGGCAAAGTCAAACCCTCCTCCTTCCTCCCTCCTCTTCCCCTCAACTACCTGGAAAAAAAAAAAAAAAAAAAAAAAACGGCAAGCTTTATCTAAATAGATTCTTCAAGGTGAGGGGGAGCAGTATTCTCTACATACTTTATCAAAGTGGTGTTATTAGTTCCTTTTTTTGATTAGGAAGTGAAAGGGAATAATATGAACCCAAGACAACTGCTAAACTTCGATCTTACAAGTTATTAAAAACAGCAAAGGTCAAACTGCAAAGTGTTAGACGGTGCTGTGAAGATAAAAGGACTGAATGAAGTTGGACACTAAAGAAAAGTATGTGTCCTTCACCTGGAAAAGTCATAATCCTCCCCCACTTCCTCCTCCAGCGTGCAAACCTGTGTGGAGTCTAAAGGAGCAGCTTTCCTCTTCATACCAAATAATTAAGATTCCAAACAATCAGATTATTAGCCCTATTCCAACAAACAAGCCAAATAAATTGTAAACTTGTGCTGTAGCTACTGACAACAGGGTTTTTAAATAAGTCTCTCTGCCTCTTGAATCTAATACTTATATAACTGATGAAAAAAAAATGGCAGCAATTTGGGGTGGGAGGGGTTTGACTTCACTAAAACACCAGGATTAAACACACACACACACACACACTCTACTATAGTCTTTGGGATACTGAACAAAAAACAGTATCTAAAATAAACATGACTTCTCAGAAAAAGTCATCTACCATTAAGGACACACCTTAAAAGTTCTTAGCACACATTAACTAAGCAAGCACAAGCTAGTGGTCGGACTGCTGTATTTTTCAGACAAAAAGCAATTAGATTATTACTCTGCACTTGTCACTGCAGACACCACAGGCTTTTTAGAAACTCCACAGATTATTCATTCTCAAAGTATTATAAAACTTAGTATTTTAAGTCTTATTTGATATCAATCAAGGCATCCATCCATGGGGGGGGGGGGGAGGCGGGGAAGAGTACAGTAAAAAGAACATCTTTAAACGTACTTCTTAACACATACAAAAGAGAAGGTGCAAGGCCTCCCAAGACCCCTACCTAGTGGCCAGGCCTGGCCGGCAGCTGTTGTTACCCTGCCTTTTCTTTTGTTGCGCTTAATCTCATGTCAACTCATTCAACCAACTCAAAAGCGATGAAGACATAATTGAATCAACCTGAACTAAATCAGACCTAGGCTTCTTGATGGTTCCAAACGATCCAGAAAGCTGGGAAACCAGCTAGCATGTAGCATGTAGTGGCCACTACTACGGGACCCCCAAACTGGCCAGAGGACCACTGCCAACAGCCCTTTGCGTGTGATGCACATTTAGGAATGTTTGTGCCAAAGCTCCGAGCCCTATAGGCTGATTCAGAAAGATAAATTGAGGCTCAAGGAATTTCAAAGAGGAACACACCAAAGGCCTTAAACTCTAAAGTGACTATTCTCTTCCTGGGAGGTGGAGAAAGAAAAAAATAAAACTTTCTACTACTCCCAAGTGTGAGCAGACTACTGGGGTCCCAGAAGTGGCCACTGGTGGCTCTTTCCCGTTCCTGTAACTAAACCTTTAGGAGAAGTCCCCGCCGGCCCACCCCTCCCCACCCCCATCCCACCCGCCCAAGAATGCGGCTTCCCGTCCTCGGTGGCCCTTCCCTGAATCCCAAAAATGTGGGTTCTAGCCCGGGAGCTGGACGTGTCGGTCCCGATCCCCGCGCGCAGGTACGGGCCGGGGCCACCCCCCCCCCGGGGCCGGGCCAGGCCCCCGCCGGGCAGCACCGCCCAGGCCGCCCCCAGCCCGGCCTCGGGGGGCCCCCGGCAGCGCCCTCCTCCCCCCTCCCCAGCCCGTGCCGCTCGCATTTTGGGGCCAAAGCGAGAGAGAAGAGAGCTCTACATCTGAAACTGCGCGGTTTCGCCACTCAGCGCCTCCTGGCAGAAACTTCCCTTTTAAAAAAAAAAAAAAAAGAGAGAGAGAGAGAGAGAGAGAGAAAGAAAAGAAAGAAACACTTATAGGGAACAGTTCGATCCTTCCTGCCCTTTAGAGTTACTAGTTCTGCTTCCAGCTGGCTCTGGGACTCCGACTGGAAGCGAGTTGTAAAAGATACTCTCTTGAGCGTTTAAGGGCTATTTAAAAAGTTCCAAAAAAATCTTTAAAATTAAAGGGGGGGGGGTAGGGAGGGAGAAGAAAAAAAAAAGGAAAGGAAAGAAAGCACCTTGTCCCCACACACACACACACACACACACACACACACACCTCCAGGGAACGCAGCCCGTGCGCCGCCGGCTCGGGGATGGGCAGGACCCGGGGAGCCGGGCCGGGCGCGGGGGGCGCGGGGGGCGTGGGGGGCGCGGGGGGGCCGCGGCGGCGCCAGGCCCCTCCCCCGGCCCTGCAGACGCGCCCTCCGCCCGGCCCGTGGGGACGGTCCCGGCCATTGTTTGCGGGGGACGCCTGTTAGGGCGCATTGTTTTGGCTGTTCCCAAGTTGCCCCGGCCCCTCCCGGGCGCTCGCGGGGGGCCCGGCCGGCACAGCCCGGGAGCCGCCCAACTTTCCCGGGGCAGCCCCCGCCCGCCCGCGCCCCCGCGCCCCGCGCCCCGCGCCCCCGCGCCCCGCGCAGAGCGGCCGCCCCCGGGCCCGGGATGCGTGCGCCGCTCGGACGCTGGCCCCGGGCTCGGCCGGCTGCGGAGGGGGCGCCCGAGAGGAGCCGCGCGGGCGAGCAGCGGGGCGGGGGTCCGCGGGCGGGGGGGCGGGGGCGGGGGGGGCGGGGGCGGGCTCCCGGGGCCCCGGAGGGCGAGGCGAGGCGAGGCGCGGCGCGGCGCGGCGCCCCCTTTACCTGCGGCTCCGGCGCCTCGGCCATTTCCTCGCTCGGCGGCGGCCGGGACTGAACTGACACCACACGAGCGAGCCGAGGTTTGAATGAGGAGGGGAGGGGGCGGGGAAGGCAGGAGGGAGGGGAGGCGACGGGGAGTTTCTCTCGGCCTTTTGTGCGGACACCTCCCGGCTTCCGCGCCCGCACCGGCCCCCCAGAAGCGGCGGGGGGCGGCCGGGCGCGGGGCGAGGCCATCCCCCGGGGCCCCGCGCCGCCGAGACCGCCCCCCGCACGGCGCCCCCCGCCCCCACCCGCCCCGCCCGGGGGATTTGGGGGCCGGGCTCACCTCGGGCGCGGGGCTAAGGTGAGCGGGGCGGGGGTGCGCACGGGGGGCAGAGGCGCGGGCGGGCGCCCCCTACGCGCCCGCGCGGGGACAGTGCAGGCGCGGGGGGTCCCTAGAGCCGCCGGGGCGCGGCGCGTCCGGCGCGGGGGGACTGTTGGGTCAGAAAGTGCTCCGGGAGCAGCTGTTGCGCCCTCCCCCGGCCCCGCCGCTCCGCGACGCCCCGCCCCCGGCCCCGCCCCCGGGCCACGTGGTCCGCGCAGGCGCGCCCCTGCCCCGCCCACCGCCGCGGACTCCGCCTCCGGGACGCGAGCGCGCGCCCCCGCGTTCCGGCCCGCGATTCCCGCGCACGCGCACGCGCACGCGCGCGCCTCCCCCCCCGCCCGCCCGCCCCCGCCCGCCCCATCCGGCTAAACGTGGCCCGCGCGCGCTCCGGCCGTTCCAGTGACAGGTACGCGGGGAGGGGGCCCGGGGGCGGCGCGCAGGCGCAGGCGCAGACGCACGCCCCGGCCGCGCCGCCTCCCGCCTCCCGCCTCCCGCGCAAGGTGTGCCCGGGCGCGGGAGGGGGTCCCCCCGCGTGCCCGCCCCGCGCCTCTGCACCCCGTTGGGGGCAGGTGAGAGGGCGGCCGCGCGCAGACGGCTTTTCGGATTCTCGCCGAGGGTGAGGGTGAGCGAGGTCGAGGAGCTGGACGCGATTAAAATGGCTCAATTACTACCTTCCTACAGCTGTCCCGTAATTGTCGTTTTTTTTTGTTGTTGTTGTTGTTGTTGTCGTTTTTTCTAAAAGCGCCCGACCTGCGCCGCTATTACAACTTGAGATTTCTGAACTTGGCCCGGGTTCCGAGCATCCACTTTGGCTTTGCTGGAAACCCACGTGGATGAAACCAGGCTTCCCAAATCCCCGGGGGGGGGGGGGGAGGGAGGGAGGGAGGGAGAGCCTGTGCCCCCCCCCAGGAGGAACCCTGGAAGCAACAATCCCAGCCACCAAGTTTTTGGCCCCAAAATGCAAACGAATGCAAATGTAAACAGAGCTCTGCAACTCAACACACAAACAAAAAACAGCCAAGTGGTGGAGGTTTTTTTGTTTTTGGTTTTTGGTGGTTTTTTTTTTTTTTTAATGGGATATGGGTGTATCCCAAACGGAAAAACTTAAAAACCTATCAAGAAAGGCCCTTAAAGTATATATTTAATAAATGGGGTGGGGGTGGGCAGCGCGATATACATGCTCTGCCGGTGAGCAATCGAAAATGGAATTTGAGAGACAGCTTCTTAGCAGAGGGGAAGAATTTGCCAAGTGTGATGCTTTGCTGTCATTTTATATATAACTACTAACCCCACATATGGCCTGGTTAGTCTTTTTTTTTTAAAAAAGGAAGTGAACCAATTACTTACAATTAATTAGCAGTGCCAGAAGTAAATTCTTTGGCCAGAACTCTTTTTCCCCCCCCCCAACCACTCAAAATACACTGATGTTGATCATTTCTATTTCTAGCACCAGGGTTCCTTTTCTCAGGGAAGATAAATATCTTTCTTTAAAATATTTTTTTAAGCCCCTATAGTCACATCCTAAAACGCAATCCCAAAGACGCTCTTCAACAAACAAGAAACTTCATTTAACTCAACCAAAACAAATGACTTGGAGCATTGCTACAAAACAAACTATGAGCAAGTGGAACCAGGTTGAGCCTCCACATTCGGTGTAGCCTCGCTCCACATGTTAATGGATAACCTTTGAACTCTGAGACCTTGAATGCTGTAAACACAATGGCACTGATAGTTAAAAATTCTAGTGTCAAAATTGGGCAAAAAGGAAAAAAAAAAATCCAAACTTTGCAGGAGGGGGATAGGCAAACAATCAAATGTTTTGACAAATAATCGCTCACTAAGAACAATGAGGCTCTGGCTCTCAGACCTTGTTGCTACTGAATTATTTTCTGAGCAAAAACGGTTGTGCTTTTTTTTTTTTCCTCTCTCTCTCTCTCTCTCTCTCTCTCTCTGCTCTTACAAAGCTACCACTTTGTTAGCATAATAGCATCCTATGGTTTGTTAGTTACTGTTTCTCTCTCCTCACCCTAACCCCACCCCACCCCCAAAAGAAGAACCTTATTATGTTGTAGCTTTTAAAATTGAAAGATAATTGTATGAGCTGATCTATCTGCTAAGAGTTTTTTTATATGTGATCCTTATGTTTGAGCAAAGAATTACAAAGAACCTTATTCCTGGAGACGTGCCAGTAAAACTGGGAAATCGTTGCAAAAATTCTGCCCGTGACTGAGTGCTGGGTTACAAACACATACTGTGTTTTTAAACGGACACACAGTGATATGAATTTGCTAAGGGCGTCCGTGGGACACACACTCTCCCCTTAGAATGTGAAGACTCCTACTTTTAAGATTTACTTGGGAAGCATGCCCAGTTAAAACCCTGAAAAATGGAAACTCCAAAAGTAAAGAACACTAGGAACGTTTAGTTTTGTAGTAAAAAGCTCAGAACTCCTTATTATTCCATGAAATGAAAATTGAAAGCCCAGCGTTATAGTCAGTCTACGGATACTTAGCTCCACCCACGAGTAATCCTGTTTTGCCATCACCCCCAGCTAGACTATCTCTAAAGGAGTCAGGTGCTGCAGAGACGCTGGCAACAAACAAAGAATAGAACCAGAAATGTCCCTTCAAATGGAAGCTGATGCTCTGCACATGTTAACCAGAGAAAGGGCGGAAAAAGCCCCACTTCGCCTCCCCTTAATGCGACAAACATCAGCTACACCTCGTTTTTCACAATTATCCAAACAGACCAGCCCTCCTTAAGATATATTTCCCAGGGTACGCTTAGAAAATCGCACTATTATCTCTGATTTAATCCTCGTGATAGGAGACCTCTTCCTCTGCTAACTTCTGATTTTCTCTCCAGATGCTGCCTGCCACACACAGCCTTCTCAGATCTCATAACAAAACAAACAAACAAAACAAAAGCCCTCCTAATTTGCTACATTTAACATTTATTGGGATCATCTTTGGAGACTTAGCCTTCGTTAGAAGAACAATGCGATATGATCCTCCTATTTCACAAGTTATTTATGTTACTGTGGAACTATTACAAGAAAGACAGTTTGGAAACTGCACGTAAATCCCTGGAGCTGAAATGGAGCCAACATAGATACTCGACTTAAAAAGAATTCAGTGTTCAGGGCAGGAAAACCCGAAAACTGCAAGTGAGGAGTCAGCAGGAAAAGAAAATGAAAAAGTTAGTCAAACCTGCCAGCTCTTGCTAACTACAAAGGACATTTGAGAAGGAAACGGGGACAGCCCTTTTAACACGACTGAATGCATTAAATTAAGTAGGGATCACCAACAAGTCCAGGGAATGCTACACTCCTCTCTTCTCTATCAGGTTTCTTGATCCCACTCCGAGTCATCTCGAAATTTGAAGCCCTCCATAAAACATCATCGTGTAATATATGATAAAAATAAATTGCAGAAGTCACCTTTCAGAAGTGGAGGCAGTGCCCGGGGCCTGGAGACTCTCTCTCCCTCGGAGTTGCCAGTCCACTTGGCTCAGAACAATACTGTAAGAGATGAGACTGCTGGTTTTTACAAGCAAACTGGAAAGGGAGGGGCCAAGCGTAAGGCTCAATTTAAATCGAGGATTAGACACAATTGTCGTGACTTGATTAAATTAATCAATTAACCTTGATAAGGTGCAAAGAGCGTAGTTTGTTTTTAACTGTATTTGTCCGGTCGGCAAGTTCCGACAAGGTCCTTCCCCCATCGGGGAGCATGACTTTTTGTGTTCCGCCAATCTTGGGGCTGGTTTTCCAAGGTTGACTTCACTCAACGTTGCAAATGTAAACTGTTCTTTAAAAATTACGCGTGTCACGTAACTTTCGGGGCACCTCTTGAAAGCTGTCTGCACCCCTCCTCCGATATTCCAGACGGGGAGCTTTGGCCAAAGGGGAGTTGGCCAAAGGGGAAGGTAGCTAAGGTCTGTTGAAACCTGATGCCCCGTCTCATCTCAATAAATGGGTCCATCTACCATCCGCCCACTTCCTCAAGCCAAAACCCAGAAGTCAAACCATATTTCAGCTCCATCTCCCCACATACACCTTTAATCCATCAAGTCCTTTCATTTCTATCTCAGGATGTCTCAACTCTGTCTACTTACCTCCATCTCTAATACAGCACCATGACCTCTCTCACTGTCTCCTCCAATTAAAAGGAGTATGGAAGGATTCTTCAAGCTTCTTCCTTCCTAGCCCTGCCTTAATACAAGCTCCACCCCGAGTCCAGGAGATCTTTCACTGTATAAATCAGGTTCTGTCCCCACCCAGCTTAATGGCTTCCTATGGCCTCGGGGGGGAAAAAATAACAAACTCCAGAGCTTGCCTCCCCAGCTCTGTAGATCTGGCCCCTGCCTAATTCGTCGGCCTCAAGTTTTGGCAAGCCCTTTCCTGGGATTCTAAGCTTCAGCCACTAGGCCTTCCCTCTGACCTAGAGCCTTTAGACCTGTGGCTCCCTTTGCCTGGCTCCCCCTTCCCATTCTTTCAAGAAGTCAACTTTTGTTCCTCCTGAAAGTGATTTAAACTCTGTGCCTTTGAGGGGGAAAGAGGGTGGGTTCCCTCTGATATTGTCCTGGAAGTCTTCTCTCCAACTGAGGTTGCTCAACTACTCCAGTTCCACTCTCTGAAAGCTGCATTGGCCTTAGAATATTTATTTAATCTCTCTGGATTTCAGTTTTCTCATCCACAAAATGGGGTGATGATGAGGCAGATGAGAAGGAAAACTTTGAAAGTTCTCATCAAAAAAAAAAAAACTAAAAAAAAAAAAGAAAGTTCTCATCACAGGGAAAAAAATTCTAACTATACGGGGTGATGGATGTCAACTAAACCTATCAATCATTTGGGAACATATACATATATCAAATCATTATGTTATACGCCTTATGCTTGTATGGTATCATATGTCAATTATATCTCAATAAAACTGGAAAAAGTATAATTAAGATTTTTTTTAAGATTTCATTTATTCGACAGAGAGAGAAAGCAAGCACAAGCAAGGGGGTAGTGGCAGTCAGAGGGAGAGGCAGAAACAGGCTCCTGGTGATGTGGGGCTCCATCCCAGGACCCCGGGATCATGACCTGAGCCAAAGGCAGATGCTTAACTGACTGAGCCACCCAAGGACCCCAGGAAGTATCTATAATTATTATTTATATAAATAATAAATATTTTTTCTGTAAGACTCTGGACAATTAAATGAGACACCCTGCGGAGCTGTAAACGCAGTTGTTTACGGGGGAGCCTACAGGGGAGCCATGAGGCCTGACACCGTCCTAGGCACGGGAGACAGAACTTGCAGTAAGCAAAACAAATGAGGCCTTTGCCCCTTTAGAGGGAGACAGACCACACAGATAGTATATCTGCAACATAAGGGTCCCTGGAGAGGGCAAGAGGCGTGCTGTTGTAGATCGGGTCCCCCTGAGGAGCAGAGAGGCCCGGGACATTGGGCGGCAAAGCATTAGTGACACAGAGAGCAGGAGGTGAGAGGCTCAGAGCAGAAGAAAGGCAAGCTTGGGGAAGAACTGCAAGGAGGCCCGTGCGCCTGGGGTCCAGTGAGTGCACACAGGGAAGGAAGACGGAGCCTGGTAAAGACACTGGCAGGGGCTGGCGTTGGCTCTAGTTGTGCCATGGCAAACAGTCAGTTCTATGTCCCCATGCTCTTCACCGCATCTGCAGCGCTTCATAGAGCTGGCCACTGCCTCGTCCTTGAAACACCATTTCCCTTGCCCTGGACTCCACTTTCTACTGATTTCCACCATCACCACCATCCGCACCCCATCAACCCCACCCCTCCCCTGTCCTCACTGGACGCTCCTTCTCAGTCCCCTTGTGGTTCTTTCTATGCTCCCTGATTTCCAGATGTTGAAGCCCAAGGCCCAGTGCTGGTACTCTACCTTCTTTTTCCCATTCATTCCCTAGATGAGTTCATCCAGCCCAATGGCTCAAAATGCCATCTAGAGGTTTAGGCCTCCTAAATATCTATTTTCCACCCAGGCTTCTCAACTCTTTTTTTTTTTTTTTTTTTAAGATTTTATTTATTCATGAGAGACACAGGCAGAGGGAGAAGCAGGCTCCCTGTGGGGAGCCCAAGGCGAGACTCAATCTCAGGTCCCCAGGATCACAACCTGAGCCAAAGGCAGATAGATACTCAACCATTGGGCCAGCCAGGTGCCCCTCTCCTCAACTCTTAAAACATATTTCCCACTGCCTCCTCCATCTCTTAGATGGCTGCCCACAGCAGAGCTCACAACAGATGCATACAGAGGAGAATAGTAAAACACGGAGCCCAGCGGCAGACAGGTCCGGTGGGAAGAGAACTGAGATTTGAGTCTTGAGGCCAGTCAGTGGGATCTTGGCTCTGTTTCCTCCTCTGTAAAATAGAGATCATAACCCCTACTAGGCCTGCCCCATTGGATGGTTGGGTTGCCCTTGTCAAACCACAGGGGAGCTCTGTGTTGTTTAACAGCAAAGGGTGGTTTCCCTGATGACTCTTCTCATGGATCCTGAGTAATCAACTCCACCAAGGGCTCTCCTTTTACGTAGGACTGTCTTTGAGGAGACCAGATACTCTAGCCTCAGCTCCCCTGATGACATTTACGTGAGTCCTAAAACCCAAGGTTCTGCATTTTGCTGGGAAGAGTGCACAGAGTCCTTGTCCTCACTTCCTTCCATCTCTCCCTCCTGGATGAGACAAATGAGTCCAGTGAGTTGTCTGTGTAGTTAGTTGAAAATTTCTTTTTCTTTTTCTTTTTTAGCCTGAATCAGACTGTTCGATCCAATAGGAGCAGGGACCTGTCCAAACGCACACTCAGCGATGCCTCCCACATTTCTCTGCCTTGGGATGGGTCATGTGGACTCGAGCACCAATATTTCAGAAAGATCTCATGGCAAAAGCAGGACCAGTGTGCCGAGAGGCTAGCTGATGCACGCTAACATTTATTGAGTTCCCAATGTGTGCTTTTCACTTTGTAGCTCGTTTAATCCCCTTAATGACCCTGTGAGGTAGGGTTTATATTTTGCCATTTGTTAGAGGAAGAGCCTGGGCAGAGATTAAGTAGCTCTCCCCAGGCCCAGAGGCAATGAGCAGCAGCTACCTTTACTGTGTAGACCTGGCCATGCCTCACCCTCATACCTCACCGGTGCACCCCCAGGACCTTGAACCATGCCTGGAATATAGTAGATGCTCATTAAATACTGGATGAGAAATGAGTAAATAGATACCATGGGCCAGGCACTTTACATCCATTATCTCATTATATCCTCCTAGTAACACAATGGCTATTTTTAGACTTGCTGTAAATGCAGAGAGGTCACATATGCATCCAACCAATAGCGTGTGTCTGGCATTGTTTGCCACAGGCCAGGGACACCACTGGAAGGAAAGCAGACTTTGTATTTACAGAGCTACCATTGCAGCAGAAATGCAGACAATCACATCTCTGTCACATCGATCTTTTCAAAAGTCACATTGATCTTTTCAAAAGTCAAACCTGATTACATCAGGGCCCTCCCTAAAACTCCCCATGTCTCTTAGAATAAAAACCAAAATCCCTGATAATGTGGCAGGCAGCATTTGGGCAGGGGGTGCTCAACGACTTTTGGGTTTTATCCCACAATACTAGGATGCCACTGGAAAGAAATGCAAGTGAAACCAACCCACCGAACTTCAAGTGAGTGTTTCTTCCTTGAGAAACTATCTCCTGCGAGATCGCATCCTGGTAAAACAAAGAAGATCTGGCAAATGGGAGGACACGACCATTCCTCTACTTCCTCTCCTGCGTGGAGGGAGGGCATGATCGAATCCAAGATACAGAGTGTCCCTGAGAAGCAGGACTGGCATGGGACTACCCATAATCTTCCCAGTCTTCACCCCTGTAGTTATTAATGCCTTTTCTTTAAAAAGAGTCAACTTAAAAAATAAAAAGAGTCAACTGAGGCTCAGGATGGTGAAGCAGCCTGCCTGAGATCACACAGCTAACAGTTGGTTTCCCCACCTTCCAGACTACACCTGAAGCCTATGTCAAAGCCCAGCTCTGTCACCGATCTAAATTTCCTCACTTCTAAAAAAAATCTATACCGGTGCACATTTCTCGCACATCCTGAGTGTTCACCAGTCAGCCCTGTGTGACTCTGGGGCAGGGTTGAAACATCCTCACCCAGCATTCTCCTCCCCGCCCCCTCCCCATTCTGGAACAACAATATTTCACTTGCCTGCCCTGGGGCTAGCCCCTCCCACCCTAGTCACTCCCTGGCATTCTTGGTGTACCTGCTTAGTCGCCCTCCATCATCCCCAGTGGACTCCAAATCTCCTTTGAAGGTAGGGAAGGAAGATCCTGCAAATTTACATCCCAACAGCAATCAGCAGAGTGCTTTTTGCACAGAGCTGGGAGGTAATAAACGTTTGTGAAATGAATATGTCCTAGACTCAGTCTCCAATTTCCATGCTTTTCTTTACACAGCCCCTCAGAGCTAATCAGTTAATCAATCTCGCAGATCCTATCATCCAGTAGCTCCCAAAGGCACCTTCCCCTTTCTATTCCTACCATCCTGTTTCTGGTTTCCTTCTGATCTGTGTCATAATCTCATAACCGGGCCCCAATATCTGTCTTCTTCCTAGCCTAAAATACTTTTTCCCCAACCCCAACAAATAATCATCGCCCTGCAACTACCGCCCTGTATGAAAACTTCCAATGTACCAAAATAAATCATAGTTTCCTCTCCTAGGATGCAAAACGACACCAAGGGCCCCAGCCAACCTTTCAGCCAGATTCATTCCGTAAATATTTATTGACCACTCCCTTGTCTCAGGCACTGGCTAGGTAGTAATTAAAGAGAGAGGTACAAAACAAATGGGATTCCTGCCCTCATAGAGTTTATATTTTCAATGGAGAAATAGACATTAAACAAATTAAAACATGAGAAAAAATAGATAGGCCTATAATTATAGTAACTACCCTAAAGAAATAATCACTTAGGGACTCAAAGAAGCATACACAAGGATATTCATTGCAGCATTGTGTATAATAGTGAAAAGTAAAAAAAAAAAAAATAGTGAAAAGTAAGCCACGAGCTACATGTTCATCAAGAGGAAACTGGCCACATAAACTATGATATTGAAATAGAAGAATATAGAAAGCGGGTGGAAAGAATGAAGTGCTGTCACATGTGCTCACATGGCTAGATCATCAAGACAGTGTGGAGTAAATAAATACATAAAGCCACACAAAGTATGCCATTTTTGCTGAAACACACGCGATAATATACTTTCTAAAGAAAATATACGTATAGGTACATAATACATATATATATATATAATATATAATACACACATACACGTTTATACTACACACAGACCATAAGACATATATAGGCCGATCATTTCACAATATATACAAATATCGAATGATTATATTGTACAACTGAAACTAATATGTTACATGTCAATCGTATCTCAGTAAATAAATAAGAGAAACGTATGCAAAGGCATGAATAAAAGTTGGTTAATTCTCAAATATGGGCAAGGATGCAGGACTGGTAGCTAAATTTTTTTTAAGGTTTTATTTATTTATTTATTTATTTTAAAGATTTTATTTATTAAAAAAAAAGATTTTATGTATTTATTTTAGAGAGAGAGCACACAGAGGGAGAGGGAGAAGCAGGCTCCCCGCTGAACAGAGAGCCCCAGCTCGGGGCTCGATCCCAGAACCCTGAGACCATGACCTGAGCGGCAGGCAGAGGCTTAACCAGCTGAGCCACCCAAATGTCCCAGCCAGCAGCTAAATATTTTATCTTTTAACATGTAAAACATATGCAAATTTGACCTGTATAACTAAAAATTAGCTGCCTATTCACATAGAATTCCAAACTATATTAAAGATCCTGTGAGGGATCCCTGGGTGGCTCAGCGGTTGAGCGCCTGCCTTAGGCCCAAGGCGTTTGATCCTGGGGTCCTGGGATCGAGTCCCACATCGGGCTCCCTGCATGGAGCCTGCTTCTCTCTCTGCCTGTGTCTCTGCCTCTCTCTCATGAATAAATAAATAAAATCTTTAATAAATAAATACATAAATACCCTGAGATACTAAAAAGAAATGTGTAATAAAATACTTAGTATTTTTATATACTGCTTTTTAATGAACTATTCTCTACTTACCCATCTCCTTGCTCTGTGCCCACTGCCTGTCCCACCTTCATTTTGAACCTCCCCAAACCCACATGCCACATACGTCCGAAAATCAATCTGTAGCCATCCTACCCATCCCCCATGGTTCACTCCAAATGCCACCAAGCTCTTTATTCAGTCACTCTCTTTGTTCAACACCTCCTTTATGACATTTGCTGGGCTATGCCTAGCCCTGGCTGTGCATGTTTGTCTGAAGGGTCAGCAGTCTCCTCAGAGGTAAGGCCCGTTTCCTCCATATCATGGCACATTGGCTGGCACCCAGGAAAGTATCCCAATATTCAGCTGTTTTATTGAATTAAGTAAATATGCTCCCTGGATTCTTCCATTCACTCATTCATTTACTTTCTCACTCAACAAATATTTATTAAGCTCTTACTGTGTACCAGGCACTGTTCTGGGTGCTAGGAATGCAGCAGGAAACCAAACCCATCCAGATGCCTATCCTGGTGGAGTTAACACTTACTATTGTACTGTATTAAATGGTAAGTGCTCTGGGGCGCCTGGCTGGCTCAGCAAGTGGAGTATGCAACTCTTGATCTCAGGGTTGTAGGTTCGAGCCCCACCTTGGGATTACTTAAATAAAATCTTTGGGGAAAAAAAATTAAATGTTAAATGCTATGGAGAAGAAAAGAGGGGTGGAGCAAAGGGGATTAGAGGGAGTTGCCAGGGGTAATGTTCAACAGGCTAGTCCGGGAAGACTTCCCAGGTGGAGTCTCCCAAGTAAAGATCTGAAGGCGTGAAAGTGGGAGCCATGTGAAGTTCTGGGGAGAGAGCATTCCTGGCTGAGGGACTGCCATGCTAAGACCTTGAAGCCGTGTGCCCCATGGTTCAAGGAACAGCAAGGAAGCCAGCCCAGTGCTGTGGCTGGTGTGGATGAATAAGAGGACACAAGTCAGAAAATTAGGATGGAGGAGGTACACATCATTTTGAGCACTATAAAGACCAGATGTGGGTGGCCCCGGGTGGCTCAGCGGTTTAGCGCCGCCTTCAGCCCAGGGCCTGATCCCAGAGACCCGGGATCGAGTCCCATGTCGGGCTCCCTGCATGGAGCCTGCTTCTCCCTCTGCCTGTGTCTCCGCCTCTCTCTCTGTATCTCTATGAATAAATAAATAAAAATCTTAAAAAAAAAAAAAAAAAAAAGACCAGATGTTACTCTGAATGAACCTGAGACTTGGTGAGTAGTACAAGCAGACTAATAATGACCTGACTGAGATATTCAAGAGTCTTGATAACAAACTGATAAACCGATAAAACCAAGAGTCCCCCTAAAATAACAACCCAGATAGTCTCCCTTGCTGAAATCACTCAGATCTTTAAGAGTGTTCATATTTTCAGCACAACAACAACACAACCACAGCCACAATGGTAACAGTGAGAAGATGAGACAAAGAGTAACAAAAAGGGAAAAAGAAAACAATTTGTTGAGCCCCTGCTACTTGCCTGAGTCCTAACTCCACACCTGATCTATCCAATCATTGTGTTACCGTGTCCTGGTAACCCGTATAGTTAAATTCCTGTGGCAGGTTGAGGACACTGTAGCCGCTGTAGCCACCAGAGGTTAATTCACTCCCTTACTTACTAACTTCTTTAACTTACTCAGGATTCTACAACAAGAATGAAGTGGAATTCTAGCCCAAACAAATTCCAAAGCCCATGCTGACTCATGCCATTCTTTTTTTTTTTTTTTTTGTACATTTTCTTTTTTTGTACTATGTGGTTGACTTTGGCCTCAGGAGAATAGAGAATGATAATAGCGATCATTGATTAAGAACTTATCATGGGCCAAGTACATTATTCGCACCCTTTCTGGATGCCAGGCAGAGTGGGTACCCCAGCCCCCACCCCAATCGCCCAGATTAGAAGCTGTACCTCCCAGTGGTGACACGATAGTCAGTGAAGGCCTGAGCTCTTCAAAAAAGGTTTCCAGGTTAAAAACAAGACCCTAGGCTGCCCAGCTGTTGCCCTTGCCACCTCACTGGAGCTCACTCCACCCCCACCCTCACCCCCATAGATGGAGGTAAGAGCACCCAGTGACAGGTGTATTTGGAGGAATAAATAAACCCTCACTAGCAAAATGCTTTGGGGGAGAATTTGGCACATAGTGAGCATTCAATCAGGACACACTAGTATCATTGGGGCACCTGAGTGGCTCGCTGGTTGAGCATCTGCCTTTGGCTCAGGTCGTGATCCTGAAGTCCCAAGATCGAGTCCCACGTTGGGCTCCCCGCGGGTAGCCTGCTTCTCCCTCTGCCTGTGTCTCTGCCTCTCTCTCATGAATAAATAAATAAAATAAAATCTTAAAAGAAAAAAACACTATTGCCACGGTCTCTTCTCCACCACCGCAGGACTCTTTTTCTGGGTTGCCAGGGTCCTAATCTGGGTTGGGGAAAAGAAGCAGAATGCTTACATGAAGTGTGAGAGACTGTGAGAGCTGGGCCCAAGTCTGTCCACTCCAGAACCAGAGCAGCTCTCTATCATCAATGCGAGACCACCCAACGTAGACAAAGCAAGTGGAACTCTTTGAAGAAAGATACCTCGATCCAAGCGATCCTCACAGAAGCTGGGAGATACCTGCCTTGCGGGGCTCCTTGGGCATCTTCCCCAAACAGGAGGTCAAGCGAGACTGGAGAGGTGCCTGCAGGAGAAAGTCAGAGGTGAGTGGCCACAGGGAAGGATGTGGGCAGATGAGCCCCTGTCTCCCTGACCATAGGTCTGCCCCCTCCAGCCACACCCTCAATCAGGATGCTGGGATTTGGGGGAAATGCTGGAGAGGAGATCTAAGGTCACACTCCTGATAGGTGTGTAGAGTGATCAAGAACTCCTGGGTCTAGCACTGAGGGGGGCACTTGATGGGATGAGCACTGGGTGTTATTCTGTATGTTGGCAAATTGAACACCAATGAAAAATAAATTTATTATTAAAAAAAAAAAAAAGAAGAAGAAGAACTCCTGGGTCTAGACTGAAGATCGGAAACGGCTGCCCCAGTGCTCGGTGGCATAGAGGATCCAAAGCCAGCTCCCTCACCGCTTCACCTTCACCTGATGGGCTGGGGCTCAGCAGCTCCCAAAACGAACCTGCAGGCTTTCTCAGAAACCAGACCTGAGTCAAACATGGTCTTTAGAGCCTGCCTGGACCCAAACCCCTGCCTCCTCCGCTCAGCTGCTGGCAAACTCAGCCTTCCGACTTGACCTGCCTGCCTCACCTGTCCAATGACAGTAACACTGCCACCCTCTCCAGGGCGACTCTGGAGGGCTACAGGAGCTAATCACAACCAAACCTCAAAACAGGGCCTGGCACCCTGCGATCACTCGGTAAACATCAGCCCAAATGACCTGAGTCATTATTCTCTCCAAACGTCCCCTTGTTCTAAAACAGCCCTCTTCAGCTTAACTTAATCGCTTTGGCTTCTTTGACAACTTTAAAAAACAACAACAACAACAACAACAACAACAACAAGAAAAAAAAAATGTGGTTAGCACATTTTGTTGACATACTTTTACAAACACCAAGCCTGCATGTCCTCTTAAAAATGTTTTAAGAGATTATAGTTTGTTCCCACTTGCTCGGAGGAAGTATTTCAGCGTCATTGTGTGGGATGAGGACAGTGAGGAGTACACGAGGATAAGTAAAACCTCTTTCCTGAACTTTTTTCCAAAAAAAAAAAAAGAGAGAGAGAGAGTTAAAGATTCAGATTCTGGGCTTTTAAGGCCCCTCTTGCTAAGTATTTTCTGATCAAGTTACCTTCTTGGTTTCTTCTCTCCCCCATAAACACAACACGAGAGGAATGAGATAGTTTTTCTTTCTCCCTGCCTCAAAAAAAAAAAAAAAAAAAAAAAAAACCACCCAAAACTGTCACATAAATTTCTCCAAACCAATACAATCGAATTTTCTACAAGGATTTGTCACTGACATGCTCTATTATTCTTTAAAGAAAATGAGAATGCTAGGCACAGGCATGAGCCCTTTCTGAGGCGCTTTTTATTGGAAGTCAACAAATCAGAACAACGTGTCCCCAAGGAAACAAAGTAGAATTTGGACCAAGCTAAAATGGCTCTGCCCCTAATCCCCGGTCCCCCAGTGCTGTGGGGCTGCACTGACAGGAAGCGCCTGCCACCAGAAGTTTCTGCTAGTTTTCACCAGTATTTCAGCCTCATCTACCCAGCCGTAGAGACACAGATAAGATACTCAGCTTTAAAAAAAAAAAAAAAAAAAATTAAATGAAGAAGAGAAGGAGGAGGAGGAGGGGGAGGAGGGGGAGGAGGAGGGGGAGGAGGGAGAGTAAAGGCAGAGCTGCGGGCCTGATCCTACCTTCCTGGTGGGCAGAGGGAGCAGAAGAAACGCAGGCGCCCCTCCCCCGCCAGAACTGGGCTTCCCGTCTGGGTGGAAACTATCTCATTACCACATTTTCAACAAGTAGACCGGTTTCCTCGTTTAATCAAAGTTAGTCTGTGGTTGTTTGGCAGTGTGCGCAGGCCGTGTTTTTACAGCTATAGAAAATGGGTATTTATTTATTTTGTGACGGCTGTGACCATATGACAAACATAAGCCAGCCTCAGCCAGTGATTTATAAGAGCTCGCAGAAGCACTGCCTTTAAGCATTTTAATAGAGGCTCTCTCATCCTTTGTAAGTGGAAGTGTAAATTGGTCCAGTCCTTTTGTAAACAGCTCAGCGAGACAAGTCAAGGGCCTTACAAATGTTCACACATTTGGGTGCATGCAGCCGGACCCCTCCTGGAACCTGTCCTAAGGAAATAGCCCTAATAAAGGAACAGGTCTTGAGAGCAAAGATCTCCGTGGCAGCGGGCTTTACACTAACACTCGCTCCGTGTGTGCAGGGGAGCACACAAATGAAGACGTGGTTCATCTTCCAAAGTGATCTCCTGCCCTTGCGCACAAGGCCGTTTCGAAATTTCCAAGTTTTGAAAATATGCCATTGGGAGATAGCTTTAATGGGCGAATGCAAAAATCAAGACACAAGAATCACGTTGTTAACAAGCCAGAAATCTTTGTATTAGTAAGCAAAAAGGGGAGATATAGGTATAGGTAGAATTGTTTACCTTGGTTTTCTTATCAAGGGACATTTTAGTAGGGACTGGGTGTTGTGTGATAGCAGGAACTTACTCTTAATTCAACTGCTGTGATAAGGCACTATGGGATGTTTGGGGGGGGAAGATATATATATATATATATATATATATTTGATATATATTTAATATATATTATATTTAATATATTATATTTAATTGTTAATTAGATTTTATTTTATTAAAATTTAATGTATTATAGTTGATATCTTAAATATATATAAATACATTTATAAGAGCTATAATTAAAAAATATATATAAGAGCTATAAAAAGATATATATCTTATATATATAAATATATATATTTATAAGAGCTATATCCTGAAACATATAGGAGGAGAATGACATGTTAGAGTTTATAATACTTGAGCAGATTTTAAAAACGGGAGATTTGAAGCAATGTGGTTAACTTGAAATTGCAAAACTGGGTGTTGGGTATGGGGGTGGTTCGTTTTACTATCCTCTCCACCTTTACATCATTGCAAAATGCTTATTAAAAAGTTTTAAGTCGTTGTTTTCTGATAATGACCTTTGTTTACCTCCCGTGTTTCTCAGATTATTTTCTACGATATGCCTTCTTTTACCAAAAAGGCATTAAAAATCAGAAGAGCTGACAGTCCGCAGAGATGTTTTTATTGCTGTGTAATAGTAGTGAATCCCCAGAATGCTGTGATAAGCCTGTGTACCTTAACGTGAGCTCATAAATGGTCCAAATCCTCTCTCTGGGATAGCACCCTGCCATCTGAGACTATGCTGTAAATATGATCGGCTGATAAAAAGCCCAGCTGCCACGGACCATTTTAAAGATTAGGAACCATTTAAACACACACACACATACACACACCCCACCTCTAGCCTCTTAAATGTTAAGTGGCAAGATACTCTGGTTTTACTTCCAAAGTTTCATGCAATAATCATGTAAGCAGCAAACAGCACAGAGCTCCACATACCACCAAGCTGACTCAGAAGGAAGGGTTCCACATTCCTTAATTAGCAGCTTCAGAAAAGCAGCTCTTCCTGCAGTGGAGTTTCCCATTTCAGCCAGCTACTCATTGGCTCAACACACCCCACAGGTTCTCACAGGGGAGTTCCAGAAAGTCTGGAACCCGAGACAATGTTATTGAATTTACATTAACCATTTCCTTTGTTCTGCTTTCATTCTAGTTTATTTTATCATACCCTATTGTATTCTGATTTTTGCAGATTGAAGATGTCCACAATAGCATTATGCATATTCTTTTTTGTCTCCAGGCTTCCCGGACACCCTGTCTATACGGAGATCACAGCCGGGAGCAGAATAAATGAGCACTTCACCAACTTGAAAATACAATTCTCTTGGTTATTAATAGTCAAAAGACTCCCAGTACTGGGCCAGAAGTTTCTTTTTTAGTAGCAATTACTTAAATTAAGTTTCTGATTTGTATTAAAGTTTTCTGGCAGAACTCAACACAGGATGCAAGAGCATGAGGAAGATTTCCAAACAAGATTACACGGTTTTCCGATGTGCTACATTTGATCATCTCTGAAAAGGCAGGGGCGACATTGCAATCTTAATTGAAATGTCAAATTCTTGGGAAACGTTCTTGTTAACATTGGACTTAAGGATTGTAATGATTGTTTACTTTGAGCTCCAGAGGTTTTGAAGAAATGTAAAAGAATCCTAAGCAGGTGAATGAGAGATTTGACAGATACTTAAAAAACACCATTTGGGGAAAACCTGGTTTTTGTCCCTTGAGGGATCCTCAAAATCTGTTCAATGAGGCATTGTTCCATTTTTTTTCTCTTTCAGTCTTCTCTTCCTTGAACTAGGCCTTTTCAAAGAATGCTTCTGCTCATTGACCAGCAGGTTGAGAGATTTATATTTGGTTTCTAATTAAGTACCCTAACTGTAAGTGAGAGAATGGAGAAGAAAAGCCCATAGTCTTATATCCCAAGAAGAAAGCAAATGTTTGCCTCAGTGGCAAACCTGCCTTCTCAGGAGTCTAAGAGGGAGCAAAGAAGACCCATTTTATTTCTTCTGAAGACATCCTCTGGCGCTTGAGAACGTCTGATGTTGTTTAGCAGGGTAAGCCAACCCTTGATGGGTTCTGTTAAGAACAAAAGCCTTCGCTTCTGGTCCCAGAGAGTAATGAGTTTCTAGTAACACTTAACATGGTAATTACGATGAAAAATGTATTTTAAAATTAATGTACTTTAACAGATATGTCAAGATGAATCCAGAGCCAAGGACACTGGCTTAAACTATAAATTTTTTTTTTTTATTTATGATAGTCACAGAGAGAGAGGCAGAGACACAGGCAGAGGAAGAAGCAGGCTCCATGCACCGGAAGCCCGACGTGGGATTCGATCCCGGGTCTCCAGGATTATGGCCTTTTGGGATTCTTGGGTCATGTAAGAGCTCAGTTTGACTTTATCCCTAACTCAGTTTCTCTATTCCCTCTTCATATCACAACTATTAGAGACATAAAAAGTGCCCTGTGACTATGATATAGTCTTTTGGGAGACCTGGAAGATGTCATATCTTTTTTTTTTTCTTGAAAATAAAGTTTATAGGGGTCCCTGGGTAGCTCAGTCAATTGAGCCTCCTACTCATGATTTCAGCTGAGGTTGTGATATCTGGGTCATGGGGTCAGGCCTGGCCTCAGGCTCCATGCTCAGCGTGGAGTCTGCTTGTCTCTCTCCTTCCCCCTGATTGTACACTCTCTCTCTCTAAAATAATAAAATCTTTTTTAAAAAATTAAAAATTAAAAAAAAAAAGGAAAGTTTATAGGGGCACCTGACTGACTCAGCCAAGGGGGCATATGAATCTTGACCTTGGAGATGTGAGTTCAAGCCCCATACTTAAAAATAAGAGATTACTTAAAAATAAAAATCTTTTTTTTTAAAGAAAGTGTATAAAAACAACACATTGTAAAAATATGATCCCAAACCCAAGAAGCTGAATCTTCTTTCCGTTTCAAAGAAATCAAGATAGAAATAAAATTATTTTTATTAATATTTGGAGGACGGCATTCATATCTAAGTAAGAATTATGCTTGTGAAAAAAAGAGATCTGAACTCACTCTAAAAAATTTTGTCCCCTTCCATTTCTGTACATTAGAAAACCGTTCCTGCCTTCCTCTTTACTTTTCCAAGTTATTAAAGATTTTGTGTCTTTCTTAGTTTCCCGGTATGAAGCAAAACACTGTAAATACATCAGAGAAATGCTAGAATTTTAGCCAGTAGTAATTCAAAGCTTTGACTCTGAATACAGGCACCCACTATTCACAGTATTTCCCATTGTATCCTGTCTACAGAGAACCCAGATGAATGGTGCCCACCTGGAGGTGTCCGATGGACCGAAATAATCTTAGCAAATGTGCGATGGTCTGGGTACAGCCGCTGCTACCTCCTCATCTAGCTGAGCCCACTGCTTGGTGCCACCAGTCTGTTAGATAGTAACCTTCAAGCCCTCCTGGCCTTGTTGATATTTCGTTGCCTATCAGTGGATCATTAGTTAGAGTATTTCCTTAGTCATAGAGACTAGCCGTTTGTTGGGACTTCTCAGTAGGAACTACAGTTGAAGATAACAGAAGGGTTATTTAAACATGAATGTGAAAACACAAAACAAAACACTTCTTTCTTCTTGGGGCCTAAGACTGTTTTGTTATTTTCTGATTCTTAAACTTGTTCAGGCTTCTTAAGTGCAGAGATCTGATTGTCTTTTTAATCTTTCCTGTGACATTTGAATGTTTAAGTCTTTTGAGAATATATATATTTACATTTTCCAACCTGCCAACAGCACTTAATATCTTCTATAGTTCCAAAGATTAGGAAAAGAAGAGAAAGCTAGAGAGTTGGCAAGCAAGTGTGTAATAATCTGGCAAGGAAATTCTTGAGCAAGAATATATGGGTTTGAGTTTATTGGAACATTTGAAAGCAATTAAATTGTTTTTTTCCCCTCAAACTTATTTTTGTCCTTTTTACTTTAAGCACACAGAGGCATACAGCTGAAAAATAACATTGCAAGTATAAATGAATCATTAAGCTGATCAAGCCAAGAAGCTACTACCAGGAGTCTTTATAGAATACTAGGTAAAATGTCTATCATCTATGCTCAGGCTAATTGGAGGGGTCGGGACCAGCCCTTTTAAAAAAAACTGATCAGCTCCTGAATATTCAAATTTTTATTTATTGACCTGATACAGAGTGTCCTGCATGGTGTTAAAAACAGCGTCTTCCAAACTGTGGGGATAGACAAGAAAATGAGATCTATGATTAATCTATATGTAAATGTGTGTTGAACACATGTAAATAGAATATAGTAGAAGCCCCAGTAGATGAATCAGAGTTATTCAGGATAACTCCACAATGAGCTAAGAGAATATCATTAGGTCTGTGTACCTGCCTTATTTTAAATACAAGCGCTCCGAAACTTTGCAGTAGCACTTAGCAAAGACTACAGGGTACACTCTAGTATGCAGTGGACAATCCTTTAAAAATACTTCTTTATTTTTATGATTAGAAGCCTTACTGTTCATTGTAGAATTTTTTTTTTTAAGAGAGAGAGCAGAAGCTGAGGGGGGAGGGGCAGAAGGAGAGAGAGAGAAAGAGAATCATAAGCATCTCTGTGCTGAGTGTGGAATCTGACTTGGGGCTCAATCTCACGACCTTGAGATCATGACCTGAGCCAAGATCAAGAGTTGGAAGCCCAACCGACTGAGCCACACAGGTGCCCCTGTTCTTTGCAGAAAATTTTAAAAACTTCAGAAAAACACCCTTCAAGTTAACACCTAAAACATTCAGCAACAGCCCCGGTTCCTACGTTGGTGTGTTTCCTTGCAGTTTTTATTTTTATTTATATTTATTTATTTATTTATTTATTTTTCCTTGCAGTTTTTAAAAAATGGCCGAGTACTTGGCTGTATCCTGCTTTTCTTCATTTGATTGTTCAACGTGCTGATGTTTCTCAGGTGTTAAAAATAATGTCAGATTGTTAAATCACCTCTTGTTTCCTTTCTCTTTTAAAATTTGCAAAATACCAACGGTATAGGCTATACAGACCCCCTTCCTGCTCACCCACTCACCGCCCCATCCTCCTCCCCACACAGCTCCTTCTGGTTCAGCAGAATGGTAAAGAATATCTCTGAAAACTGAGAAAAAAAAAAAAGTTTCACTGACAGTTGAATTAAAACCCTAACAGGTAAAGACTCATACCAGGAAACTTTTTATTTTAAGATTTTATTTATATACTTGAAAGAGAGAGAGAGAGCACAGAGGGAAAGGGAGAAGCAGACCCCCACTGAGCAGGGAGCCTTACCTGGGACTGGATCCCAGGACTCTGGGATCATGACCTAGGCCAAAGGTAGACGCTTAACCTACTGAGGGGCCCCAGGAAACTCTTTTTCCCCTCTGTATCTTAAGATATTTTAGGACATATTATCCAGGAATAAAGACCACAAAAGGGATATTCACATTGTAAAGGAAAACCAAATTGAGAGGGTCCTTATCTCCTTAAAAAAAAAAAATCTTAGCTCTGGGCCTCATGGTGACTTGGAGGGAGGGCCCTGGGAGGCTGGATAACCACAGTGGGAGGGAAACTGGTATTTCTCTGTGTGCTTTTTGTGCTTCCTGAATTCGATATCAGAAGAGGATATTCACTTCTTTAAAAAAACACACATGGACATGTTTTAAGTACAGAAGTAATTATGTCTGAATCCCAGTCTTAAGGAATCAAGCTCTCATTAAATAAGACACCTACCCCCTCTGTCTCCAGTACCTGAGTTTCCTGACCTCCTCCTCTTGCTTTCCACTTCAGAATCAAACTTCACTAAGAATAGGACACCTGCTCCATTCTGACCATGAGTACATTGTTGGAGAAGCCTTGACAGTGCTCCGCCCCCCAAAGTTGATTATCAAACTATATAAAATAGAGACACCCAAAGCTATTTATGAGGTGGATCTTCACAGCACTTGTACTTTGTCTATTCTCAGCCCAATTCAACTTTCTCTCAACACATCCGACCTCAAAGTTGGCAAATGGGCCACTAGAAGTGGACCTCATGTCACATTTGCTATGATCCAGAGTGAGATGCTCTGGTGAACACCTGCTTGAGGCTTCTTCGGGGGCACCTGCCTGCTAATGTGCTTCCTCCACCCCTTCCTACTCTCCCTCATGGGATTAATTTAGACATTTTCTGAAGTATTTATTTAAAACCATTCTCCTCCTGAGTCAGGATGGACTTTGCTCATCCTATTTCCTTGAAATAAATATTTCCACCTTGCATGGGTGAGCAATTGCACGAGAGCATGATTTCTTTCAGAGCACACCATGGATGATAGTATGTGTTTACAGAGATGTAAAAAAAAAAAATGTGCAATTTGAACTTCCCTTCCAAAATGACGACAGGTGCCTCTGGCTTGTAGAAAACGTGGCAAGATTTGTAATTTGATATATAGGGAGAGGATCCACTGTGGGGCGACTCTCTCTCTCTCTCTCTCTCTCTCTCTCTTTTTTTTTTTTTTTTTTTTGTCTTTCTGTCTTCTAATGGGACTGGCTGGCTGGGGAGCTCGCCTCGCCTGGGACCCAGGTAGGGATGAGTCCAACCACCCAGGCAGGGCCCACTCCTGAAACCCGAGTCGTAACAGAATCAGTCCTGACCCAACACAGCCGACTGGAGCGACAAAAAGTTTGATTGTGCAATTTTCTCAGTAAGATGACCTGAGGCTAGTCCCCTGTTTGCTTTCTACGTTCTAGAAAACGTTTTTAATGGGTTGGGGAGTCTTTCACACTAAGCACTCTCTGCTCGTTAACGTGGCTCAGAGTGTTGTGCCTTGTTATGAAGTTGTATTTTCAGAGCATGTGGTGAAAGTCAGGATTTTTCCCTTCCTCCTCCTCTTCTTTTTTTTTTTCCCCTCCTGCTTTAAAAACAAGATAAGCCTGTATGCAAATAGAGTCCACAGTGACCAGTCCCCTTCTCAGCGTTATTTATCATATCACAGAGCCTTCCTTCACCCATTATGCTCTATTTGCATACCTTTAACATTAGAAACATTTATTCCAGTAATGAGTCATCTGAAACATCTTCTGGGTTTAGAGCTAGGAAGCTGGAGTCAAGAGCACCAATGCCGGAAGAATGGATGTCTTCTGTGTTAAAAAACCTCAGGATTGTTTATGTGGAGAGAGAGACAGAAAGGAAGAGAGTTTGGTTTTGTTTGGGGTTTTGTTGCTGTTGGGTTGTTGTTTTTTGTTGTTGTTGTTGTTGTTGTTGTTGTTGTTTTTTTTGGTTCCTCCGTTTGTTTAATTCCAAGATTGAAATGTGCTGGAATGGATTAAAGATAATATCTGAAATATATTTAGCTGCCTACTTCGTATGTTGAGAAATATTCTGTGCGAATGAGAATCTCATTTTAGGAAGAGAAAGGGCCGACTGCTTGAGCTGAATGTAGCTAGTCTGTCAAAGGAGAGGAAGAGCTTTATACATTAAATATTTTTTTTCCCCAGCTCTAAGGAGACATAATTGACACACAACATTGTGTCAGTTTCAGGTGTACAACCTGTTGATTTGATACCTTATGTTTTGAAATATTTCTCAAATGGAAAAAAAAAAAAAAAGGAAAGAAAGAGAGTGAGAGAGACAACCCCAATGCTTTTCTCAGAAAGAACAGGAAGCCTGAAGGAGGAAGTATGTGACAGTTTATTTTTCAACGAGCCCACATTATCAAGTGAATGAAATCCCTCTGGAAGCTATAAAAATGAAAATCCGGAAGGTGGCTGTGTTCAGGTAGCACAAAAGGCTTCTCAATATTTAGAACTTTTTCTCAAAGCTAAGTTATTAATGAAAGCCAATTATTGCACTTTTCCAAAAGGAAACACTGAGTCATTCATGAAATGATCTAAGATTTCGAAACTTGCTTACACCATTTTTTTTTTCCTCCTCCTTTCCTACCTGTGCCAAAAGCCGGCTCAGAAAAAGCCAACCAGTAACCGTGGCCTAAATCCAGGGAGCCGGCCAAATTAGCCGAAGAATGGAGTAATTTAACAAAGACTCCTGATGCCCCAAAGGGTGACTTGTCTCACTAGACAGGCAGGCGAGAGAAAGTGCCTGCTCGCCTGCCTGGAGCCCAGAGCCTGGGAGGGGCCCCTGTCCCTGACCCCCACCCCCACTGCCCACCCCCCTGCCCCTGGGGGTGCGATCTGGGGGTGGGGAGTGGGGGTGGAGGTGGGGGGCTGTGATTAACCAGTTCTGGCATCGCAGTTATTTGGCCAGAGCCCTGGCCTGGCTCCAAGTTTCCTGTGGAACAACAAGTGGGCGTGGGCCCTCGGATAGGCCGGAACCCTGTTCCAAGGAGGCATCGCATATTCGTGGCCAGAGACCTACAGAATGGGGTCAGGGCTGGGGTACTAGATGAGGATGTGTTCAACTTCTTGATCCGTTTATCAAGCGTGTTCAGTGTAGGCCATTAAATTGCACCCAGGGAACAGGCAACACGTGGGTGGGTCAGGGGTAAACTGTGAGTGAGGTGGTTCAAACCCCAGGGCAGCTCCGGCCCCCTTCTTTCTGGCTGTGGAAGAGGGTTCCTGGTGCTCATTTTTAAAAACACGACTTTAGATGAGAGAGCCCTTTAACAAAGTGTTAAGCCACCGAACTTTCTGGGTAGGCACCATGGAAGCAGCCTATTTCATCTTCGCAAACAACTATAAGGCCATGTAGATAAATAATGTAGACAAGGAAACAATGTTTTGGTCCAAACAGTACAGGAAAGGCTTGGAATTGTGCCTCCTGAGCACAACACCTAATGTTTGCCTTGTTCAAACTGTTCAAAGGATTTTATGGATACATTGTCTTAGAAGGCTCTGCGAGGCGGAGAGGGGAAGCACACTAGCCCATTTTACAGATTAGGAAACCGGGGCTCAGGGAGACCGTGACCTTTCTAAGGTCACAAAGGTAGTTTGCAGAGGCCAAACTTCAGGCCAAGGACTCCTGGCAAAGGGTACCAAACCTCCCTGGGTGTGGCCTGTCCCTTATGACCAGGGTCTGAATGTCCCTTATAAGCAGGGTCTGAATGTCCCCTTCTGTATGTCCAGACCCTGTGAGCTGCTATGTCTGTTGCCTTTACAGTCAACCTGTACTTTCCAATTCTTGAGGAATATTCAGTTCTTTCTTCTACTCCCTACCTTGAAGATTCTGGTCCTTTTTCACAATGTGGGATGCACCTGTCTGAAAAGGAAGCGGTCTAGATTCTGGTATTGGCATAGAACAACTTCCTCTTTTTCTCCTTGTATTTCTTGTGGTATCAGTTTTATCCCAACGCCTAAAAAAAAAAATCTCAGATTCCACACCACGCAGGAGGGGCTTAAAACAAACAAACAAACAAACAAACAAACAAAACACTTTCTCATCCACTAAGATGTAACTAATAGTCACCAGTGATTCTAAAATTTCCTCTGTGTGTGTGTGTTTCTTTTTTCACATTTTTTTTTCACCATGATTTTTCTTTTTCTGGTCATTTAGGAGGAAAGATATTTTTAAAAACGATCGTCGCTTTTTGTGTAACTCGCATGGTGTAATCCACACACTGGGTGGTTATTACTAACACCAGGAGAAAAAATACTGCAGAATTTCAGAACTAACCCCTTAGACACTTCTTCCATAGGCCTCGTTTATTTAGAATATGCCCAGTAAGCACTGGTTAAAAATTGATGATTCCAGAACAGTCTTCCTCAAGTGATTTTTGTAAAATCCCTAGGAGACCTTGAACATTCTGTTACAGTTTTACAATCACGGAGAGGAGGACGGAAGGTAGTGTTCACGAGGAATATTGCTTTATTACTCAGCTAAAAGTCCCTTTGGCTCTAAAAGCCCCTCCTCCCAGGCACTGCCGGCTGGGAGAAGTCAGCGTTTTCTCTCCCTTCCTGTGAACGATTCCATTTTTAAAATATGTAAAAGAAACCTCTGTTCTTGCAATAAATGATCCCCCCCCCCAGTGGCCAGAGACCACCCCCTTCTTATTTGCAGAACAGTAGCCATGGGGTGAGAGGCAGTTGTCATCAACTCACCTTGCAATGATGGCAAGCCTCTTGACACGCTGTTTACCACGTCTCCGACGCTGTTGCATGCTTTTTCTCACAGTGTATTAGCTCACAGTCTCCTCACTACAGCTCTACAGGGCAGATGCTGTTTTGCAGAGGAGTAATCCAGAGCACAGAAAGGTTGACCAACCTATCCAGGATCACACAGCTCAGCACCGTGCTCCAACCCATTATTCTTTGCTGCCTCCAGGCATCCATGCAGCCCGCAAAGCTTCAACCAAGTGGGTTAGCTCACTGACCTCTGTCCCAGAGGCAGAACTTTTTTCTGATATCACCAGAGTGTGGGTGAAAATCGGGGAGTCTCTTGTGCAGAATGGTGACTTGGAGCTCACTGAGAATGAGGAGGTGGGTGACCTTGATGGTAGGACAACGCTTTAGGTCTAACCCGAATATTTCCTTTAAATCTCTGAGCCAAGTCAGTGTATGTGTGTGTAACACAAACACATAGTGCTTCCCCAGTTAGGCAAACATGGCTTATGTAAAAAACTAAAAGTCCTTGATGGTTTAGCTTTGGACAAGCAGATTCATTTCAATTTATTTTAAATACTTGTAAAACTTAAATCGTAAAATGTTAACACTTGGTGGATTTTATCCGCTAGCTGAAGTTACTATCTTGGAAAACAGCAATCAATAAGCAAACTACAAACAAACAAAATAAATGCACAAGCAAGCAAGCAAACAACGAATTAGATCTAGCCATAATGCTTAAGAGAATATATATTTCGCTTGATTATATTTTCTAGTTACTCAGGTGTTCACAAGTAAAAGTTCTGTTTCATCTTTTATATATTTTAAAATATATTTATATGGGGGTGGCCTGAGTGGCTCAGTGGTTGAGCATCTGCCTTTGGCTGAGGTCGTGATTCTGGGGTCCTGGGATCGAGTCCCACATTGGGGTCCCCGCAGGGAGCCTGCTTCTCCCTTTGTCTATGTCTCTGGGTCTCATATGAATACATAAATAAAAAATCTTTTTAAAAAGATAAAATAAGGGATCCCTGGGTGGCTCAGTGGTTTAGCACCTGCCTTTGGCCAGGTCCTGGAGTCCCGGGATCAGGTCCTCCTCAGGGTCCCAGCATGGAGCCTGCTTCTCCCTCTGCCTGTGTCTCTCTCTCTATGTCTATCATGAATAAATAAATAAATAAAATCTTTTAAAATTTTTTTAAAAAGATAAAATAAAATATATTTATATGTATACATGAATCTTTCCTGTACATTTTTAAATATACAAAAATACTTTTTATATATTTATTTTTAAGATGTTATTGTTAGGTAACCTCTCGGCCCAATATGGGGCTCGAACCCACAACCTTGAGATGAAGAGTCGCATGCTCCACCGACTGAGCCAGCCAGGTGCCCCAGAAATACTCTTTAATCTTTAAATCTGTAATGTAGTA